CACGCCATACACTGCGAGAAAAAACTACAGGGGGATTTTAAGGGTGCCCGTCTCTCCGTGTTTTTTTCTCCTCAAATCAAGTTGTTATTGTTTCTAAATTGATTTTTCCCATTAAAAAGATAAAATTTTGGCAGTGCGGCGGCGGCGCGGCAGTCACTCCATATTACTCGGCGGCGCACCTGAGTGCACTAGTGTGCACTTGTGTGCAGTCGGCGCGCTATCCTCGAGGCTGTCTCCGTCACGCGGTGCCGCGCGGTGCGCCGCCCGCTTCATTCCGAGAGTCGTCGCCCCGTCTCTCCCGCACCCCTCCACGGGACGCCCCCATCCCGCGAGAGCGAGGGAGACGGAGCGACGCTGAGCACCCCACTCTCGGAATCGGCCTGCCGCATCGCGGCGGGTGGCGCGCTCTTGTCAGAAAGGCCCTCGGGGCCCTGGACGTTACCACCAAGGGCGATCCACAGGGCGCGAGGCAGGGCGCGAGCCCTTAGAAGGGCAACACTGTCAAATCGCCGGGGATTCTCTGCCCGCGGGGCCCTTCTCCATGTTGCTGTTGTTGTTTTTTGTTGATTTTGTTGTTGTTGTTGTTGTTGTTGGCGTCGTTGCTGGGGTGAGCTTCTCGCGTGACTGCCCCGTGAAGAGGGAGAATTTTCTTCAATTAATTTTGCCTGCCCTCCGGAGGCAGAGACAACGGACAGACAGACAGACAGACAGACAGACAGACAGACAGACAGACAGACAGACAGACAGACAGACAGACAGACAGACAGACAGACAGACAGACAGGCAGGCAGGTACGGACAGGCGATGAGCGGAAGATGTAATGGGGGGCCGTATAGTAGGCGGCTGCGGCGTTTGGTTCCGAAGAGTCAGGTCGTCTGTCTCTCTCGCACCTTGCGGCAGGAGGGCCGGCGGTGCCCGGCGGCGCGTGAGTGCGAGAGAGACGGGACGCTCGTGTGCAGCGCGAGGGCCGCACGCACGGCGCGGCGCGGTCGCCCTCTAACAAGACATTGAGATGGGAGTAAATCGCGGGGAGTGCTCTCGTCGCCCCGTCTCCCTCGCACTCGCGGGGCGTCCCGGACGCGGCCACGCGGCGCGAGAGAGACGGAGCGCCCGTTCGGCCGTCCGGCCGTTCGGAACGAGACTGCGGAGCGGGTATCGAGGACGGGGATGCCTCGACCCACTGCCTCGCAGTGCAGCGCCTTGCAGTGCCGTGCCTTGCAGTGCCGTGCCTTGCACTGCACCGTACCGTACTGCGCGCTCCGATTGGCTGGCTGGATTGGGGGTCGGATGCTGACCGAGTCGGCCTACCGAGTCTGCTGGACCCGAAGGCGGCGCGAGGCACAGCCGCCCAGCCAGAATGCGGTTCCGTTGGCGGGGATTCAATCGGAATGCCATTACGGCGAAATGCGGGGCCTGGCACAACGCCGAGACACCCACTTCACTACAAGGCCCGTGTCACACGTCCTGCCAAAAATTTAAAAAAAAAATTAAAAATTGAAGATTAGGAACTTTTGCGGTCCAAAGACAGTCACATGACTCTAACGTTTCCATATTCATTCATTTTAAAGAATTTTGTTTTTTTGTGAAGTTTTTTTAGGGTGGCGAGCCTCTACAGGTGGAACTGCGTGTCGCCTGCCTGCGTCTCAAAGAAAGGGAAATGAAGCGCGAGGAACGCCCACTCTCTGTCTCTCTCTTTCCCCCTCCCTTTCTCTCTCTCTCCCTCCCGGCGCGCGGCCCACGACGAAAAGGGAAAGGGGAGAGGATCGAGAGGATGGTGTGGGAACGCGGCAAAGCATGCCAAGGTCGGCGGCACCGGTACGCCGTAAACGGGCTCCGATCGGTGCGGGGGGCACTTTCTTTGAGCCGCACGCGCGCTTCGCTAACCCTTCCTCGACAAAACCGGGACCGGGAGGGGGGGGGGAGGGAAGAACCCGGTGGCGTTCGAACCCGCGGCGTGTTATAACACTGATGCTAGCATACATGCGGTCAGGGAGCGAGGGCGACGCCCCGCAGCTGTGAAGCGATCGACCGCAGGGGATTCGTTCGGCTCCAGTGCGCTGCGGTGGCTGGAGTCGCTGGAGGCACAACCGCGTAGCCGCGCCGCCGGGCCGCAGAGATGGCGGCTTGTTCGGCGGCGGTTCGTCCCCCAGCGCGTCGCCTGCACTGGAACAGGTGCCGGCCGCAAGCGGGCCGCAAGCGGGCCGCAAGCCGCAACGAGCTTCCCCCGGAGGATGTCCTGGAATGCGTCGCAAACTAAAACAACCTCCAGGCCACTTCGGTCAAAATTCCAACTACCAACTCTACTTATTTCTCAAAATTTCTCAGTGGCACGGGCACGTATTTTGGCCTGAAAAAAATGGATTTTTATTGCACATTTTGTCTTTTTTTTTACCGTGTACTTGTACCGTTTCCGCCGGACAAACGCGATCTGCCCGCCCCTCTCAGAACCGCCCCGGAATCGCAATGCATCTCATACAGTGGCGGTGGCGAGGCGGCCGGGCGGTGAAAGCAGCGCCCAAACTACTCACTCCGTGACGTCCGTGACGTCATCGACGTAACTGCGACCCGCGTCGCACGGAGCTGCGGCACTTCTGCCCGCCGAGTGCGGGTTCTTTGAGCAGACCGAGTCCGAACAGTCGCTCTGTCTCTCTCGCACTCACGGCTGCGGCCCGCCGGGGTGCGAGAGAGACAGAGCGACTGTTCGGCACCGGCCCGCCGCGCCCGCTGCCCAGCCATTCCAAAGGGGGTCCTCAAAGGACGCGCGGTTCCGCCACACTACTTGAACATGGCCGCCGAGAGGCAACCTGTGTGGCGCAGTCGTCATATCGGACCACGCGCAACGCCGTTCTAGAGTGGCCACTCGTCCGGCCGAAAAGTGCGCATCACGCGGTGTTGTTGTTGCTGTTGTTGTTTTTGAAGACGTGGGCGCCGAGCGTGTTGGGGCCATTGTTGGCGTCCGGGCACGCCGCGGTCCCTCAGCCAGGCCCTCCGGACGAGCGGACAGACGGACGGACGGACGGACAGACAGACAGACAGACAGACAGACAGACAGACAGACAGACAGACAGACAGACAGACAGACAGACAGACAGACAGACAGGCAGACAGACAGACAGACAGACAGACAGACAGACAGGCAGACAGGCAGACAGGCCGACGGGATGCTGTTGCCGTTCAAGGCCGTGCATCGATTCGCCCACCGCCGATAGAGCGACGTGGAGAGACGTATTGGCGAGATAGCAACATTCTTACAAAAGAGCTTCGCATCCTGCCGCATCCTGCCGCATCCCGCCGCGTCCCGCGCAGGAAGGGCGGGGAAGGATTCCCGCAGCCCGACCAATCAGCGGCAGCGCGGCGGGCCGTCCAGGGTGCGCCGTGCTCGAGAACACTGCCCCTCCAATTCATCTTCGCCGTTGAATCTTTCGGGTCAACCTCAAAATGCACACCACACCAAATGTTCACCGCATGACGAAATCTCCGCCCGGACCTTCTTGTTGACCCTGTACCCCGTGATGCAGGCGATGCAGACGACACGAGTGCGGTTACTTCCAGTGAGATGACAGTCGGTGGGCCCCGTCGGCCCGGCCCGGCGTCAAGGCCGCGTAAAGATGCGAGACGATGCGCTGCGATGCGCGCGCATCGCACCGAGAGGCAGCCCGGCCCGGCCTCGCCGAGACCTCTCAAAGACCTCTCAAAGACCGCAAAAGGGACATCAGACGATCTCTCTGATATCGGAGCCAAATTACGACTTTCGCCCGGGACCTGTGGCACTGCCTGGCACAGCCGGGCGGCACTGTCCACTCCTGGACAACTCAACTCCAACACACTGTTGTTTTTGTTGTCGGTGTATTGTTGATGAAGTGGTGCATTCATCGGGTAAGAATTGTTGTCCATTCATGCTCTGTCACTGCGTAATCTGAGTGGAAGGGAGAAAGCAACGCGACGCAGTGAGTCATTGAAGGCATCGTCTCACCGACGCCGTTCGCGCTATTCGCAAGTCACAGACCGCCGGACCGGCCGGCGTATTCTCAAGAGCTGTGGCTCAATGAGCCCTGCAGCTTCGCTAGCGCCGACTGTACTTTGAACCGGCGCTCTGACACACAGTGGGCTCGTCGGCCGAGGCGGCCGAAATTCAAGACGCGTTTTGAGCTCCAGAGTCGCTAAATGGGACTCGACCCGAGCGTGTGACCCCACCAATGGAATGCTCTCCGAACGACGAATCCATTGGTGGGGTCACACGTTCGGTTCGAGTCCAGTTGAAAAACGCGTCTAGAGTTTTGGCCGCCGGCGCCGGTCTGCTGGCCCACTGGGCGGCACGCCGTGCTCGGCGGGGCGTTTGTTGTGCGTTTGGCCCGGCAAAGTGGGCCACATCCATCCATGGCCGGCGTCAAAAATAAACGCCGCCCAGACCTCACGCCGTCACCAGCTTCGTTTGGGGCGTGCGCGTGTCCGCACCCCCGCAGTGCACAGCAGTGCAGTCGGCGGCGTGGTCCGGGTCGGCCCCGAACCGGGACTGTACCTCGCGTTTGGTGCGCTTGCACTTGTGTGTGCCTGGGCCCGAACACGGTCGAGGGCTACTCGGTGCGCGCGAGGAGTGAAGCCTAGTGAAGTCGTAAGTGAAGCGCCCCCCCCCCCCCCCCCCCCCCCCCCCGCGCACCTCCTGCCCCCCAGCGTCCACCACCTGCGCTTCCACGGAAAGGGACTTCCCCGTACCGGCGGCGGCTGCTACGACGCGGTACACGCTCGCCCAAAACCATCAGAATTTTTTTCAAAAAAATTATTACCATTTTTTGGAACTTTTTTCAGGGTTTTACATTAATTCATTTTTTAATTTTTCCAAAAATTGGACATTTGGTCACTTAACGTGACCAGGGCTCCTCTCAAACCGTGACCCGGTTGTCCCCGGCCAGAGCGACGTGACTATTCACAACCTGACTAGGCGTTTTTCCTTCGGCGGCAAAGGAAACCGAGTTACACGGGCTGATTCGCTAATTGTGTTTGAACAGCTTGCTGCGTCGAGACGGCCGCCAGTCACTATAAGTTTGAGGGCGAGCCGTCCAGCAGTACGTGTTGTGCCCTCCTGCAGCAGCGAACATGGTATGTCGTTTTCTACGCCACGGTTCCTTGTCCCTCCCGGTTCGGCAGAAGGACGCCCGTAGATGTTGAAAAAAAAAAAACCGCAGGGATCGCCAAGTTATCGATCTAGAAGGCCGGCCGTCAACAGGCGTGAGAATCGCTTTTTCGCGACAGACTTTCAGCTTTCAATCTGAAGAGCGAGCATGACCGAGTCGAAGGCAAAGTCGAAGCCTGCATGATAGCTAGCTTGGTGGCCCTGCGGTGCCTTGTGATAGCAGTGTAGACACGTGACAGTGTAGGCACGTGCGAGTCAAGAAAAGTTAGTGCACCCTTCAGTTCCGACAATTGGCTAGCGACTTTAAAAATAATTTTTAATCCACTCAGCCGAGTGGCCGATCGGTCTGAGCAATCTCTATGTGGCTGTTGTGACTGACTGTGTTCTTGACGTCAGGCTTCCCGTCTCGTTTCCGTCGTCGCCCTGGTCCTCGCGGCCGGTAAGTCACGGTCACGGACCGGCTCTGCTTTTACACCGTAAAAAAACACGAGTTTTGCTTACACTGCACTGACATCCCCAGCGGCCTGCGCCCTGGCCAACCAGTCCCCCATCGACATCATTCCCGCCGACGCCGTGACCACCACTCTGGCCCCCCTGAGCTTCAAGCACTACCACTCCTCCCAGAGCACCTACTACCTGTCCAACACCGGCCACGGCGCCCAGATCACCCTCAAGAACTGGCTGTACAACCCCAGGGTCAAGGGCGGCCCTCTGCCCAAGTCCTTCATCCTGGAGCAGGTCCACTTCCACTGGGGCTCCACCGACGGCAAGGGAAGCGAGCACCACCTCAACGGCAAGCCGTAAGTCCGCGGTTCGAACACCGTCGCTTTCGCCCTTTTTTTTCGGTCGAGTCGTGAACCGTGTCCTCCCCGTGCCGCAGCTTCTCCATGGAGGTCCACCTCGTGCACTGGAACAGCAAGTACGACTCCTACGAGGAGGCCGCCAACCAGCCCGACGGTCTCGCCGTCGTCGGCTTCTTCATTGAGGTACGCTAGCGCCACCTGGCGCCATCCAGGGTCATCCTGGGCCATCCAGGGCCATTCAGGGCCTCGACGCTGCGGCTATCCACAGACTGGAAGTGCGTTGTCCGGTTTCGGTTATCCGGCTCCCCGGTTCCGGTTGTCCGGTTCCGGTTGTCCGGTTTCGGTTGTCCGCCACCGCCCCTCCAGGGCGGCCCAACGTGCCCGGCGGGCAGGCCCGGGGCAGGCAAGCGCCGTGCAGTGCCGGTGGCCCGGCCTGCCTGGCCCGGCAGGGGGTGTGGTTTGCGGTGTGCCAGAGGGTGGGTGGGCTCCGCCACGTCCTGCCAGGGTCCTGCTTCCAGTGCGCGGACTGCCTGGCGTCCATGTCGCCGGACAGGCGGCGGCGCCTCTTCTGCGGCGGCCAGCGTCGCCACAAGAGCTGGCTGCGACGCATCATGTGCGACGCGGGGGTCTCCACGTGGACCCGCGTCAGCTCGCTCATGTCGCGCTTCCTGCCCGCCAGCATCAACGACAGGATAAGGTCTAGGCTGTTCCCCAACGTGAGTATCGCCGCCCGGTTCCTGCTTTTGTCGCTTTTGCCGCGCTTTTGCCGCACTTTTCCCGCGCTTTTGCCGCGCGCTTCCCGCGCTTTTCCGGCGCTTTTTCTAAGCTGAACCAGCTTTGTTTGCCAATTGCCACCCTAAATTGTTCTGCGTTTTTCACTGGGTTTTTTTTGCGTTTGATTTGTTTTCCACTTCTCGCTAACCACACTTTTTCGTCACTCAGACGCCTCTCAAGACTCGGCTTTGATTTCCCGTTTCCGTTGGCAGGCCCTCGAGGCGTACAGGAACCCCGACTTCCAGAAGCTCGTCGACGAGATCCCCAAGATCTCCGCCGCCGACTCCAGCAAGGTCGAGTCCAACGCCAACCTCCTCGCCTGGGTGCTGCCCAGCCTGCAGAAGGGCGGCTACTACTCCTACCCCGGCTCTCTCACCACCGAGCCCTACTCCGAGAACGTCATCTGGATCGTGTACGAGAACCCCATCATCATCGGCAAGTCCCAGGTCAGTGCTTTGCCATGGCTTTGCCCGGCGTCGTCGGACAGCAGCAAAGAGTTCGCGCTTGCGTCAGTGACTGCATTTTTTTGTCGTTGCAGATCGAGCCCTTCAGGAGCATCGAGAACCACCACGAGGAGGCTCTCCTCACCAACTTCCGCTCCCTGCAGAGCAACAGCGACCTCCAGCTGAAGTACATCCCTGCCTAATAAGGGCCATCGTCTTCAATAAATCAAAAATAAAATATTGATTTTCAAAATGTTTTTTTTATTTGACAAAACAACATACAACAGTGACAAAACATGGATTCACACAGCATGGCACAGCAACAGGTCAAATATCGTGCCATAATTTTCCGTTAGAATGATTTCGGTACCTAACGACAAACAGTCAATCCCAAACAATGAAGTCGAAATGGGCCACTACTCTAACACTTATAAATTATCCTTAGCAAATGGAGAGATCTTTCATTTCTCACAGTAACAATACACGGTCGCCGCGAGTCCAGGACCGACTAGGGTCAGGCACGGCGAGAACAAGAATAACTTATCTAGGAACTTGACCTATCACAGTAAGAGCACGAAAACGCTTCGAGTTATCAGTCGGCGCGGAGCGTTCTCCGTTTCTTTTCAGTCCTCTAGGAACTGTAGAAAGATGACGTAATGGGAGTGAGTGGTCGATCAGAACTGCCCAGCGCCGATTCGGGGGCCGGGACGACTCGCAAACTCTCAAACCCCTGAAACCACCGGGGTGAAAGAGGCACTCCAAAAGCAGCGCTGGTCCGCCAGAACACGGATTCACGCTTCAGCTGACGTGCTTCAGGCCGCCCTTGAGGGCGTCGCCCGAGAGCGTGATGGTGGAGATGTTGGTCTGCATGTTGGACTCCAGGTCCTCCTTGGTCTCCAGGCCCAGCGTGTTCCAGGGCTGCGTCTCCGCCGTGCCGAACAGCAGGAACAGAGTGTTGGCCACCAGGAAGACGGCGGCCGCCGAGTAGAAGACGACGTGCCACTGCGCGGGGTCGGTCTGCCGAAACGACCACAAAATTTAATTCAATCACCAAATTTTAGGCTAGGTTAGGTTAAGTTAAGTTGGGTGAAGTTAGGTGAGGTTAGGTTCGGGCTGCCTGCGTACCGGTCTGGTGACGATGAGGGGGGTGATGAGGGGGCCGAGGACGGACAGCAGGTTGGCCCACAGGTTGGTGAAGCCCATGAGTGCGGGCGCGTGGTTGGGCGACAGGTCCAGGTGGTTGATCTGGAAGCCGAGGTACATGGCGGAGAGCAGCGTCATGGAGCACGTCAGCAGCACGATGGTCAGCACGTGGGAGGAGTCGGACACGCCGGTGCCGATCACGCCTAGCATGATGGCGCCGCCCCACTGGGCTGCAAACGAGAAAAAAAAACATTTTAAAAACATCTTTTTAAAAAAAATAGACCGCTAAAACAGTTTTGGTCTGGTCCGTGGCTACGTACCGATGGTGTTGGCGATCTTGCGCATGGCCGTGGTGTTGAGCTTGCCGCTCTTGATGAGGGCGTCCGAGATGAAGGACAGGGGCAGCGCGGCGAGCCACATGGTGAAGTACGGCAGCGCGGACACCATGCCGTTCTGTCGGACCAGAAACAACCACAATTTAAAACGTGTTCTTCGCGGTAAAACGGTTTTGATGGTTCCAGCGTAAAGACGCCGTGTGGGTATGCAGTCCCGCCGAACAGGGCTGCTTAACGGGACAGCCTGCCCGCCAGGCGGCGTGGCCCCTTGCGGACGCCGGGTAGGCAGTCCCGCCGAACAGGGCTGCTCTACAGAACAGCCTGCCCGCCAGGCGCCATGGCTCCTCGGATACTCACATCCATGATGGCGTACTGCTGCACGTTCTTCATGTAGTTGGGCAGCTGGGTGAGCAGGGTCCAGTAGCCGACCATCTGGCCGCAGTGGGCCGCCGTGAGCCCCCAGACGGGCGCCGAGGTGAGCACGACGCGCCACGGCGTGGACACGACCTGCGGAGCCAATCACAGACCGGGATTGGTGCGGATTAGTTGGCGCGAGATTCGAACCGGGATTTTGCAATGAATCCATTCGGATCATGGCGGACTCTATCTCGAGGCTCTGGCACAAACCACTGCATAATCTCTTTGGGGACACTCGAAGCCTGGTCCAACCAATGGCCCTATGTACTGTATTACTGCAGTACCCACACGCGGATAGAGTCTGCTTCCTAATTTGAGGACCGTGCAAGTGACTCACGAAGCCAAGCATGTCCATAACCCCAGAGTCACGTTGACACTCCACCCACACTGCAAGTCGAAATGGCGGGAAATGGCGTGAAATGGCGCGAAATGGCGCAAAATGGCGGGAAATGGCGCGAAATGGCGGGAAATGGCCCACAAAGTTCGGCTTGCTGACCCCGCGGGACCCCGCCTGCCACAAGGAACACGTGGTATGTGCGAATGACCCCTTATCTAAAAAGCACAGGTGTTCCGCAATCTTGAAAATAATACGTCACCGTGCCGGCGTTGCGAGGAACGCAGCGAACGCAGAGTAACGATAACAAATTTGGAAAGGGAGTCGCCTCGGCTCACCTTGGCGAGGCTGGCGTTGGCCGAGACCTGCTCCTTGATGTAGTCCCGCTCCTGGGGGTCGATGCGCGGGTGCGCCACGGGGGTGTCGGCGCCGAGGTACAGCCAGGCCAGGGTCCACAGCACGCCCAGGATGCCGGCGCCGTAGAACACCGAGGGCCAACCCAGCTTGTCGGTCAGGATCCCGGTGAACAGGAGTCCGATCACCGTGCCAAACTGAGCGCCTGCGAGGAGAAAGAAAAAAAATTCGGTTACACGGCTTCTGTCGTACGATTGACAGTTTATCTGTTTATCTAATTTCCAACTGAGGATGACCGCGCAGTGACATTATTCTATCTCCTGTCTGTGCCGTGGTCCTCGCGCGTACGCGTGGTCGAAGATTAGCCAAAAGTGCATCCTAACGCCTCTTCAGAATCAGCGACAAGCTGCTGTTGTTGGTTGGTGTTGTTTGTGTTTCTGGTGGTTGTGTTGTTGTTGCGGGCTTACCTCCGTACACAAACGAGCCCAGCCTGGAGCGCTCGGACGGCGGCACCCACTTGGACAGCAGGGCGTGCGTCGCGGGGGCCAGCGGACCCTGAAAATAAAAATAACAATCGATAAAAATACATTTTATGGGCTTTCCGTTTGAGATGCGGCGGTACGGGCAAGTTCGCTGTCCGCGGCTGACCGCCCCGTCCCAAAAGGGGCCGCGAGTGAATTGCCGCAATGAAGATTACTCCCGTGGACCTATCGTGCAACGACGCCGCCGCGGCCGAGCGGTCACCGGCACCGTCACCGGCCGGCAGCCGGCCCGTCGGGGACGCCCAGGGCGCGGAGGGCGCGGAGGGCGCGGAGCTGGCCGTGGCCTTGGTCCCTTGGTCTTTTGGTGCGCGCGGCACCTGAGCGGCGGCCCCGTGAGAGTGAGGACTTGCCTGGAAGAGGCCCTGCATGACCCGCACGGCGCACGCGGCCTCCCAGCCGCCCTTCTGCGCCGCCAGGGGCAGCACGAAGGAGCCGACGGTGGACAGGGCGATGGAGCTGAGCAGGACGTTCTTGGCGCCGAAGACGAGCGCCAGGCGGCCACCCAGCATGGGGGACACGCAGAAGCCCCACAGGAAGGCGGACATCACGACGCTCTGGTGCTCCGAGCTCCAGTTCAGTTCCTGGACAACGAGACCAAGATTGATGAACTCTGCTTTCGACTGGCGGTGCGCGGTGCGCGGTGCGCGGTGTCCGCCACGCCACTCACCGGGTCGTCCGCCATGGCGACGATGGCCACCGACATGCAGGACACGACGACGTAGGCCTGCACGAAGCACAGGAACGTCATGAAGGCCTGGATGTGCCTGGTCCCGAACATGGCCGGGGGCGCCGCCGTGGCCGCGGGGACGGCGGCCGCGGCCTCCCTGGCGGCCATGCGGCCGTTGCCGCCGATGGCGAGGAAGGTCATGCTGGACTAGGGCGCTAGGGCGCTAGGGCGTGCCGACGGCCAGGGACTGCGCTGCGGGGCGGGCTGCAGGGGCGTCGGCGACTTGCCGGCGGGCAGGAGCGGGGTCTGAGCTGAGCGTGCGGCGGGGACGGGGCGGCACCTCCAAATGGCCAGCTTGAGGGTGTAGTGACTCTGGTCGCCGGCCGGGCGGACCGGGCCTTAGCGCGACGAGGCTGATTTTGCCACTCGAGCCGAGATAACATGAACGCAGCGTGAGTATAATGACCATTGCCAATTGATGCGACGCCTTGCTTTCCGCCAACGAGTAGCCAGATTGCGGCTAGGCCCTCGGCGCCCTCGGCATGATTTGCAGTCATGACGCGTGTGCGTGAGTGGCGAACAGTTCCATCGAAGAGTGACTGCACGGTTTGCGTCCCGCAAATTCCACCCAGAGGCCAGGGGCGGTGCTCGCAGCAAGGCTTGCAGTGCGCATGCAGGACTTCTGGGCTTCGCTTCGCCGCTAACCCCTTCACCACACTACTGCCTGTGGACCCGAGCAACTCTGCACCGCTTGTGCGAAACCCAACCGGCTCCACGGCCGACCAATTATCAGAGTGCCCTGTGACTAACGCCAACCTTTTGACGGAGACGTGTTGACAGGTGCGAGTTAAGCCCCGAAGTTTCCTTCTGTGGGTCCTGTGTCTACCGCCCGCCGTATTCCGTTTCGATCTGAGGCGACCTCGGGCGTGTCTCAGCCCCGATCCATTCCAGCGCGCCCGCAGAGTCGAGCATAGGCAACCCGCTCGAGTCGAGCGAGACGGTGTGAGTGGGGAGAGGGACAAAGAGGCAATGAAAACAAAATAGTATTCCCTGTTCCATGCTCACTCTCTATTATGCACACAAGATACAAAAGATTTCCAGTGTTTCAGTCCATAGTTAATTACACTTTAAAATTAGTTTGAAAACAGAGGAAAAAACAATGACAGCTATAAGGGAACAATAAAAAGCTTTTACTGTACACACAGCAGATGTCTTTACCATTTCTGTGGGACATTTACTCGGCATCAAAAGCAGCCTTTTTAACCAGATCATATGGCGTCTGAGAACTACAAGAACTTTACAAATATGAAAAAAAACACTCAAAACTGATCTAAATTTGCAGATCAAATCAGATGACACCCTCCTTTTATCATTTATTGTTGGTATGACACAGTCCTTGAATGCTTAAAATTCTACTGAGTTTCATTCCTATAACAATGTAATAAGATGAAATTTCATGAACAGGTATTGATAGTTTAGTGGAGTTTTTGTTTAGAATTAGAAACAACCTTACAAGAGTATGGTATCATGTGATAGCAAAGTTCTTCAGTAACTTGATAATAAACTCTCAATGCTTTCCTAGGCAATCCATCTGATTGACACTGCATTGAACTTCAGACAGTTTTGTGCATTATGATTGATTAGTTACATCCTTAAATACAAAACATCACATAACCTTCATCAGTAAAATTTTATTTCCTGTTACAGAAATTGCAACATCAACAAATTCAATTCATATGAAAGTATTACAAAAACCTATTTCCACAGAAAGAGGAAATACATACTGAGCCATAAGTGATTGCATGAAAATATGAAAGGACCAGTATCCCTGCATGATGTGACAACTTCCTGACAAATATAGACACACTTTTCTCTTAAAAAAATGGACATAAGCCCCAGAAAATGTCAATTTTTTGCAAAATGGACTATGGAAGCACTAATATAAAACGAAACAATCATCTCATAATGACTTACATTGTAGTGTTAACAACACATACAAAAGGTGCTTTTAAAAAAAACCCTCATACTATGGGCATTAGACAATTGAATTAAGGAAAATACTATGTAAAAACATTGAAAAGTTTTGGTACTAAACAAGAACCTGTTGTATGATATGTTTAGCTCCAAAACAGTGAAAATACATATACAATGCATTATGGTTCAATTACAGCTTCACAGATAAAAGAAGTCATCCACTCAACACTAACTTAATCACATTTTAATTTGCTAATAAGATAATTACATCTAAGCTTAAATGTACATGAAAATTTTGAATTTCACAGACCCAGAAAGTTTACCTAATGTACACCTCAACCAAAATTATTCCCATCATAAAGTCACTCAATGCATACATACACATACACACGCACACTCACAGGTTCTAAAATATAAAAAAAAAAATATCATAGAGAAACTAAAACGTGATCACAAAAAAAATGATGAAACAAAGAACACCTAAGACAAAACTATGAAACAAATAGACTACAAGAAACTGAAATAATAAATTTTGCAAAATAACAGAATGTTGTTTTTACAATTTTACATAATGTTTTGTTTACAAGTGAATGACACAGAGCTGATTGAAATAATATATGTGGCCACATTAACAACTTACTAATATTGCACGAGCGAAGCAAGTTATGGAAATAATAACTAGCTGCGCCGATCTGTGCACATCAATTGGAGAAATGACTGGGCTTTATTGGAAATACAACAGTTACAGCTCATCTCGTAAAAGAGTGTATCTGTTTTTGGATGGGGCAAGCTTCTTGAAAGTTGATTCTGGAGGGTTTGTGGGCTTCTTGTCCACACTTCCTTCAATAAGATTCACAGTGTTTTCTGTAGGTGTATCAGGACCATAGTGGAACTCCCGATGAAGCTTTCCAGAATATAGATCCAGAAGAAACTGGCGCAGTCTTCCAGGAATCTCCATATCCTCAAACTTTGGGAACAGATACATGTGCCTAAAACTGTCAATTGCTATCAGGGGAAGATCATTTTGACTCATGCCCAGATGATGCAGGGGGTGAGAAAAGCGGCCGCCATCAGCAGTCAAGAAATTTACGCTATCTGTAGGTGAAAATGAAACAGATAAGTTAGTTTTTAAAACACACAGTAGAAAAAGGACTAAATAAAGAGATCAATTCCATCTTACGTTTTTCCTCAAGGAGTTCTTTGTTAATGACATCCTTGTACTTCTTGATACTTTCCGTGTCATCAGCTTTGTGGAACAAAATTAAGAAGGGAAGACCTTCCTCCGTTAGCTCCTCTGCGTTTTCAAATGTGATTTCTCTTACCATTGGCACACATTTTTCTGCTGCCCAAATGTTTAACTGCAAAGACAAGATAATTCTACTGGTAAAACAAAAGCAGAAGATTCCAAATTCAGTGGGCACAATCTTAAAAATTTGAACTTCATTTGTTTACCTCATCATAACTTTTAAGATCACCCATGAAGGTTTCATCATGCTCATTTGATGTCGCCTTGTCTGGACGGAAAACGACAATGGATTGACCAGGAGGATGCATCTGTTCTGAAGCAGCTCTGAAAATCAAACCAAAGACGGAAGTTATGAAAGGCAGCTATCTGAGGAACCTAGTCACAAACCAAACACACACACAATATTTCAAACAAAATATGCATCGTTTCCAACTTAAGATGAATCCAGCCAGTGTAGGGTGAAAGCTGTCACAGCAATAGCTTTAAAATTGGAAAGTGCCACACACAGACCTGTGACCCTAAATAGAGCAAAACAAAACTCAAATAGTGGCTGTTCAGATACCCCAAAAGTGTACTTGCAATCTAAATTGAAAGGAATTCCATTTATTGAATAATAAAAGCAAAGAAAGATTTCTTTTAAGCTTTTTAAAACAGAAGAAGAAAGCATTGAGTATCTTTCCTGTTATTTCCAGCAATCTAAGCGAAACCAGGTCTAGGAGGCAGAATTCAAACAGATAAACGTGATCTGCAAATTCTACTCACTTGATTACTGAATTAATAGCTTCATGAGAAAAGCTGAGAAATAAAACAGTAGATTAGAGCCACTAACGTGTTAAAATTTTTCTCACACTTTGAGCATAATCTATCTGTTAATGAATACGATTTGAGCAGTAGCCCAACAAACAATGAGTCACAGAAGCATTTTGGCTGAAAGAAAGCTATTTTATCACCTTTCTCCACAAGTATATAATCAAGAGGACATACACACTAGTGTATTTAGTATCACCAGGTAACAATTACAACAAAGAATATAAGGCATCATTACCCCCTCCCCTCCCCTCCCCAAAACAAAGAAGAAGAAGAATACTAACCCAAATCCAACGTGGAACTGACAATCATCTTTCAAATTGGTTGCAACTCTCCGGAAGGTATTGAAATCAGGATTGTCTCGCCTATCAAAGTAGCCAATGAGCATTCTTTTCTTGTCCTGTGCAATACATTATAGAGAAAATTATTAAAAAATAACAAATGAGGCATTAAATTCATTGAATGACAATGCTATGCTATTACTTACATCAAGCTTTTCAAGATCTTTGAGAGAAGCAAACTCCTTAGTGGGATCTTCAAGCTGCTTCTTCACAAACGAAACAAAGGCCTCAACTGATCTTTGACCCCTGTACTCTCGTTTTGCAGGCTGACCATTTTGAAATAATTTGAGGGTAGGATACTTGGTAATATGGAATCTCGATGCCAATGAACCTAAAAAAGTTATCAGTATGACAACAGAGTTGAGCCCAAACAATCTGATAGTGACTAAATCAACTGCAAAAAAATATTTACCTTCTTTATCACAATCTACTTTTCCCATTACTACCCGACCAGGGGTAGTAAATTCTGCAGTCACCTTATCGGCTGCTTCATCGAATATCGGTGCCAACATGTTACTGAAGCGGCACCAGTCCGCATAGAAATTGATGAATACCAACTCATTTGAAGCTGTAAATAAAAAATTAAAAAAGATAAGCTTGATCCGCAGAGACCCTAATAAATTGTCTCATGATAACACTTCAGGATTCATGCAAACTGCTGATTAAACACATCAATTTTGTCTTACCTAAAATTGAGTCTACATTTGAAGCAGAAAGTTGTACTGCCCCGCTGTCCGCTGGGTTGTAAAACAAATAGGATAACTGTAAGAGAAAAAGAAATAGGTGTTATTTGTAGCACTTCAAGAGCTCTTTCATAAAATAACATAAACAGAAGTTTTTGGTTAGAGCTAGTGTCACAAAACACCAAACACTGGATTTTTATCCCAAGCCAAAACAAATATAGGATCGAAAATCCATTAATACGACACAAGGCGCACGAAGTAAATAAATCTACGTTGCAATGTAGAAGTGGGCAGCGATCAAGTGTCGTGGCATTTTGGCAGATCTTGCCCACCTGTCTAATCCGTCTGCCCAAGGCCAACAAACAGACAGCATCGGCTGGCTCAGCAACAACAAAACCACACATTCATCGCCGACTAAACCTGAGAAAAGAACCTTACCCAAACATGCAGAAGGAACAATAATCTCCTAGATGTGATTTTTGGAATCATATTCTTTAAATAATAATACTAAAAGGTAGCCGGTTACAGACACACGTCCATTACTTCATATACCACTGCAGCAACCGCAGCAACTGCAGCAACAACACCGCAAAGCAAAAGGCAGTTTCTGCTGTGTGTGGCAAGGCATGTATGAAAAATTAGACCGAACTCGATTTGCTTTTCCGACCCCGTTCTCTGCCTTGCGTGCCTCTGTCACTGTCTGCTATACTGTCATTGCTGAAAAAACCTGTTTATATTCTGAATTTGCTTATTTTCCTCTGCAAGAAGGGTGTTTTATATCACTCGCTGTGTGAGTACCTGCTGCAGAAGCAAGTCATCTACTTCGTGCGCTTCCTCGAAACCTTCAAAAGCAAAAGCCCTCTACTTGAACACTTCTTATCTAACACTAGCAGCGGCGTCTGCTAGTGATTGCTAACTTGTGCTAAAACACCGGCGAAAAGAGCGAAAAGTAGGGCTCTAGAAAGTTTAGTGTCGCAAAGTACAGGAGGGCGGGCCTATTCTAGCCTTTGAGTGCGAGAGAGACGATAAGATTAAGCTCTTGACTGTCCCACTGTCCAGCCTCATTCATTATGAAAATTTTCATTAGATTATATTTTTACTTTTTGAAAAAATATTTTATGGCTATTATGTTGATGATTTTAGCGACCACAGTGTGTTCCTTAAGCTTATCTTAATTTTTTGTTTCAGAAAAAAAATGGCTGGTTCTTTGAGCCCCTTTGTATACTGGGCTCAAACTGAGGACTCCATAAGTTTACGAGTGGCACTTAGCAACTCCAAGGTGTGTTTTGCGCGGTATAGTTTCCTAGTTTCAAAGACGTAACAAATCTTATGCCATTGATTTTGTTCCACAGGATGCTGATGTAGTACTTCGTCCAACAAAGCTTGAGTTTTCGGCTCATGGCCATGGGGCAAAGGGTGTTCATGACTATGGGTTTTCACTGAACTTTAATCAACCTTTGGACACTGAGGTATGCAATCATTTCGACATCCATTTCTCCATGGCTTTGTGACTTTTCTTTAACTCAATTGTGTTTTAGGCAAGTACCTACAAAACAAGTGACCGAGAAGTGCTTTTTATCTTGAAAAAGGCAAGGAAGTTTTGGTGGTCAAGGCTTACAGCTACTCCGCAAAAGCCTGCCTGGCTCAAGGTACTGATAACTTTTCACCATCTACTCAGAGTGGTATTAAGAGGCAGAATTCTATTGACTTTGTTTCTCACTACTCAATAGATTGATTTTGAACGCTGGAAGTCAGAGGATGGAGACGAAGAAGAAGATGAAGAAACACGTGATGTCAGAAAAGATTACCCTGACCTGTACAGAGATCTGCATAAACGGGAGCTGGGTTACATAAGAGGTCAGGATGACACATGCATCCATGTGGTCAATTAAAAACCTGAAAATACATTGCTAACATTTTTTTTTTCATGCATCTTTTTTAGAGAGCTACAAAGAAGTTTACCTTCTCATTTACAACCTTTTCCAGTTTGTGGGCTTTACCTTTGTTTTCTCAGTGTTGAGTATTCAGTATTACAGAGATGGACCAAGTAAGTTGATCAATTTTTTAGCTTTGTTGACCTTATCTCCCGTTGTTATTTTTTTGCCTATTTGTCAAATATAATTTAATTTGCTCTACAGATGCAATGGTTCAAGCATTTGAGTCGGTGGGTCCTGCAATGAAATTTGTGCAGCTTCTGCAGTTTCTAGAGGTCATGCACGTAATGTTTGGGTACACTAAAGGTGGCATACTAGCTCCTCTCTTACAAACTTGTGGCAGAGCATTTGTTCTATTTTGTATGATTGATGCTGAGCCACGCATGCATGCAAAACCAGTTGTATTTTACCTCTTTATGATATGGTCATCTGTGGAATTGATAAGGTACGTTTTTTTTTTTTCCTTTCTGCTAAAATTTACTTGCAATGTCTATGCTACCAACTGTTTCAATTTTTTTCCAGATATCCGTATTACATTTCTCAGCTATACTCACTGAACATTTATGCTCTCACCTGGCTACGGTACACTATTTGGATTCCATTGTACCCTCTTGGAGTTCTTTGTGAAGGTGTTATCATTCTTAGAAACATACCCTTTTTTGAAGAAACCATGAGATTTTCTTGGGCTCTTCCAAATGCTTGGAACTTTGCTTTCCATCTCCCCACCTTCCTCAAAATATATTTAGCATTTTTCAGTTTTCCAAGTAAGTTTTGTTTTTTCATTTATTCATGTTTCTATAAGTTGAATGTGGTTTTAATTCTACTTTATTTATTTCCAGTCCTTTACTTCCTTATGAACCACATGTATCGCACTCGATGCAAAAAGCTTGGAATCAAGAGCTGGAAAAAATCCAATTGACTTCATTGATAGCAACAGCTGTTGCACGTAACATTTTTTTTTTTGCCACCAGGCAAAGTTTTCTATCATTTGTATTTAAATGTAAACTTTTTATGAAATGTATTTGCTCATTTTCAGCTTGTTATAGCCCAGCAATTTTTCACAATTGTTGGGGACAAGTTTAGTCAATGTATATGGTGACTTTGGTTTGGGAAGTGTAGACAATAGCAAGCCTAATCACAATCAATGTAATGCCATCATCACATAATTATTAAAGATTATCTTAGACTCGGCTCGTTAACTCTTGTATCTCCGCTACCTTTTCATTTGCAAGCAAGTGTCGGGTCGAGGGAGGGAGAGGGAAGGCCCATAGCGCCTTGCGAACGCATTCGGCTTAGCTCCTCTGCGGCGCGCAAGTGCTCGGGGGATTGCAAACTGCTGGACGAACTTTAAATTGAGTGCGGCAGGGTGTAGTTAATTTTGCGCCAAACCCCCAGGTAAAAGTTTGATGCCCATGACCGACTAAATTTAGACCTACTCGCCCCTCGTCCCCTGGTCTCGTGCTGTCCTTACTGCGCATACTGGTTCTCAGCTGCAAATAGTTGAGCCGACTTATGCATTGCGTTCTGTGGATAGTGATTTCCCTCCCTTCTGCTTCTCCGCTCTCTCTTTTTTTTTCGTGTCGTCTGCAGCAGTCTTGTCACCTTCTGCTTGGGGCTCACTGTCGCGACTTTGTTGTAAAAACAAAGATAACTTAGGATGTGAGCAATGTCCCCCGCCGTCGGATGGGGCACAAAGCAACGCGCAACTTCGTTTTATTTGTCGTTAAATCTTAACATGTGATATTTGCGAGGTGTAGCCCCATTCTTGCCACGAGTATTAAGACACCAACCTATCTGTGATACTATTTTAATCCGTCATGAGGTTGTTTACGTTTGTGTTGCGCAAAAGCGCGAATCTTAAATTAAACCCCTCAGATTCAACTGTCAAAAATGGATTTTTAAAAGGGGCTTTTGGTAAATATCTTCTTGTGACAAACACACTTTCATCTGGCATTCTAATGGGTCTCGGAGACTATTGCCAACAAAGAATTGAGATTTATCAAGCAACTACAGACAAGAAGTCATTTGACATTACAAGATCAGGTATGTTTTATCAAAAAAGGTCTAATGATCCCGATGGTTGACCTTATATGACACTAAAGTGTACTCATTTTCAAATTGCAGTCAATATGTCAACTGTTGGACTGGGTCATGGTGTGTTTCATCACTTTTTTTACGGGTGGATTGACCGAAAATTTCCTGGGACAACATTGAGAAATGTAGTTCGAAAAATTTTTGTGGATCAGCTGATAGCCTCTCCAGCATGCATGTACATATTTTTTATTGGAATGGCAATCATGGAAAAGAGAGGGTATGAATCAGGATGGCAAGAAATTAAAAGCAAATTCCTGTTCTGTTATATGGTAAGTATTCATTGGTTGCTGTGTTTTGAAGTTCATGTGACAGTTCTATATTACTTAATAAAATTGTTATGGCCATTTATCTTTACCCTCAGGTTGACTGGATTGTCTGGCCTCCAAACCAATTCATTAACTTCTATTTTCTGCCACCCAAGTACCGAGTTATTTACATCAACACTCTGACAATGATTTATGATATATTTCTATCATACATTAAATTTTATGTAAGTATTGCTCTTGAGTTATCACATCCCTTTCAACTCCTTTTTCTGAGAGTTTGTTCTTATATTCTGTTCCTAGGATCAAATTGAAGCACCAAAGGAACTGAAATAGTTCTTGCACTGTTGATTTGGTGTGTTTAGTCATGTGATGCTACGATATATGGAGAAGATGAGCAGGTTACCAAAGTAATGATATTTAGATAATAGATGTTCAAGTTTTCATTCAAGTACTATTGATAAAAATACACATACAAAACATTAACAGTGAATTAAATAATAACAATATAAGGTTAATACTGTGAGATGAATACCCATAGCTGTCTTTCTACTTTAGCATAAATTTTGATTTTGATTAAACTTGAATGTCTTATTGACACAATGAAAAGCATTTTGCCAAGGTGAGCTGTTTCTTGATGTAGTACATGTCTTCAGCGTAAATCAGATAGATGCTTGCTCATGATGTTTTAAAAATTACTTGTGATGACAGAATAAAAATTATTTGTTGGATACTGCTTCATACAATACTTCCTAAAGTAAAACACAACTTCAACTTATACCTAATGACATATCACAGGCTTAAATAATCAGCCTACCTGCTTAAAAATTGTAACACCAATCAATCAATTTTGAAATTAACAAAATTAAGTTACTGATGGGAATGGCATCTTAAGGCTACATATTTGCATAAACACTATTGACAAGACACCACAAAACAGAATGTGTGAAGTAATGATGAAGAATCACATGGTAACAGAAAAGTTAAAAATAAAATGCTTTTTATCATTTGCTTAATACAGTGACACTTAAAAATTGCTCCTGATGCACAAGAAGCTAACACATGAGAAATCCTTTTAAACAATGTGGCTGACAACATTCTTGTTTTGACTGAAGTAAAGTGTACTTCATGTGAAAGATGAAAATTTTAAACGTAATTCAGTGCTATAAAAGTGCTTGACAGGTTTAACTGGTTGGATATCACTAGAAAAAGTCATACGATACAGTCTTGAATCTAATGAAATAACTACAGTATAAACAATTCATGATGCTGTTGATACTAAGTAACAAAAAACAAGTCAAGGTCTAAAAGGGCATACAATTGGGACATGGTTTAAGTGTTATCTCCAACACCTCCATTTCATTTGAGCTTTGACTATTACACTTGCCAACTTCATTAAGAATGTCACAGGCATAATCATTATTTTAGATTGTCAAGACATTATTTATCACAACCTGAGAAATGTTCATAGAAAAATAATAAAGTGAAAGGATTCTTCACTTGTTTTCATTTAAAATCACTTGGTTATTATTTTATAAAAGCTTTACCGTGTTGACCCAATCCTTCACATTCAGAGGATTACACAACTTTCAATTTATTTACATAGCTCAATGAGCCCCACTTACGAAAAGTGTCTTATAAAATTCTTGCTTTGGGTACACAGCAAGTTTGTACTTCAGACTGGGGAACATGCCCAAGTGTCTTGGAATGGTTGGGGATTCTGAAGAAAGCACCTTCTTCTTCCCTATTGAATGCAAATTAGGTTCTTTGCTGATCCCTCAGTCCTTTTCGACCAGAGTGGTTCAGAAACCCACCCTGCTATCACGCATGAGCTTCTACAGTTGTTGGTGTCCCCGTTTGTGTTTGCTTTGATCCATTTTCAGCCAGGTGAATATCGCCAGCTGAAAAATGTTAATGTTTTTTTTCAATTTATGTGAGACTAATTAATGAAAAGAGTTTTTATTGTAGGTATTAAAATTATAGCAACAAAAGCATTAAGAAATGCAGCAAAGCAATAAAGTCCTTCAGTCCTGCTCTTCAAGAGTTTCTAAATTTCCCTTACCTGGGTTGGATTTTTTGGGTTCATCCCAAGCTTGCCTGACAGCAGAGCCTCCAATCACAAACACAAGATTACCTATGAAACTAACACCAGCAGCAATCAAAAAGGCGGTTTGCCATTGGCTCACATTAGTCTGTTGAGGAAAGAAAACAGCTTTATTAAGATGACCCACACTGAAAACTTGTTTCAATATTCAATGTTTCATGCAGGTTTCACAAAATATGATTTGAAAGGCACATACCTCATCAGATACAACAGCACCGACTACAAGTGGAGCAATAAATGACATAATGTTAGCCATCGCATTAGTGATGCCAAATAATGTCGAGGCATAATTTGGGGACAAGTCCAAGTGGTTGATGTTGTACCCAACATAAGTCGCTCCATTCAGAGCCACTGCAAGTGTTAACATAAGTACACATGTATTGGAGTCGTTCTGGAAGAAGCCCAACACAACCAAGATGATGGCTGGCCCCCACAATCCTGAAACACAATTTTGTGCTTGTCATTTCTTGATTTGTGATTTGCAGAGGAGATGTTCCGTTCAGACTGTATCTGAAGGAAAAAAAAAAGAGCTTACCGACTGAATTTCCAATTTTTCTGTTGAGTGTCAAGGAAATGTAGTGACCGTTATTTAAGAAATCTGCTAACCATGCAAATGCAAAACTGACAAAGTATTTAATAACATATGGCAGTGCAGATAAAAGGCCGTTCTGTAACAAGAAGAAGCATCTTAGATAACCAGCATCGTAAAACTAAGATACGATCCGAGATTCATCGATCACAATTCAGAGGCACTCACATCCTGAATTCTGTAGCCTAGAGCCTTGTCAAGGTACGTTGGCATCTTGGTTAAAATGGTCCAAAAGGCCCAAGAGTGGCCGCAATGGGCCAAAACTAGTGAGATCATGGGTATGGAGGTGACGATGGACAGCCAGGGTGTGACGCGCTTCTGCAAAATCCAAATTCACTAGTTGAAAACCATTCGGGAGTGTTAAAAGTAACGCCAGCAGGGGTCGGCCGTCGGCCCGGCCATCCCCGGTGCCACTTACGCGTTCGGAGCTCGGCGCGACGCCGAAGTTCTCCTCGATGTACTGCCTCTCCTTCTCGCTCATGGACGGGTGCTGGGCGGGGCACTCGGACACGCCGAAGAGGATCCAGATGCCCACCACCATGCCCAGGGCGCCCGTCACGTAGAAGATGGAGGGCCACCCCGCGGGGCTGCCCGCCAGCGCGCCCGACGCGGACAGGCCCACCACGATGCCGAAGGGCTGGGCTGCAGGGCACACGACAAAGGGTTGCTGGCGAGTCTGACTACGCTGCGGGGCGGGGGCGGGGCTGCGGGCGTCACTCCACTCCACTGCACTCACCGGCGAGGAAGAAAGACACCATCCTGGAGCGCTCCCTGGGCGGCGCCCACTTGCTCAGCAGCTCGTAGCACGCCGTCAGCAAGAAGCCCTGCGCCAGGCCCTGGCACACGCGCGCCGCGCACACGCCCGGCCAGTCGCCGTACATGGCGCACATCGGCATCAGCAGGTCGAAGAGGCTGGACACCAGCACGGACATGGCGAGGAAGCGCTTGGGGCCGAAGCGCTGCGACAGCTGGCCCGCCGGGATGTTCATCACCACGTACCCCCAGAAGAAGGACGAGAGCACCAGGCTGGTGCGCGACGGGTCCCAGTCAAAAGTCTGCACAACAAACACAGTTAAGAGTTAAATTGCAAAATCATTTTTGTCGAAGGCTGGTGCTTGAAGTACGTACGGTCACGTCGATCCCCGGCGTCTTCTTCGTCATGGCCACGATGGCCACGGACATGTTGGTCCTGGTGCAGAAGGCCACGGCCGCGCTGAAGAACATGATGACGGCCTGGACGTGGCGCGCCCCCACCAGCTGGCACGCCCGATGCATGTTGCCTGGAAAGCAGAGGACACGCCGTCAGACCAGTGCAGTGGCGCACAGCGCGGCCCGGGTTCGAACCCCGTCGCTTACAGAGCATGGTCTGGCCGAGTCGACACACAGCACACGTCCAGAGCACTGGCGCGTCTGAGCTCCGGCCCGACTGCAACACCTATCTATACCCGAGTCACCAAATCCTGCCACCGTCAGCGGTGTCGCTCCGTCCCGCACCCCCGCGGCCGGCCCGCGAGTGCGAGAGAGACGGCACGCCACTGCAATAGCGCAATAGCGCCAACGACTGATTTACTGCCCGTCGTTGATTTATGGTTCAGACTGTGCGTTGATGGTCCCCCGTGATGACCAGTGGATCAGACAAAGACAAAAATGCGTGTCGGCTTCCTCGGAAGGGAAGTGCAATCTCACGCTCGGCGGAGCTAAAGAGCCAGGCCTATTCGCCCCCGATAGAGCGATTGCGAGAAACGGTTGTAAACGATGCAAACCCCTGCGAACATCTTGCGACGCCTCCCCGGCCACTCTCTCTCTCGCACCCATGCGGGACGAGTGCGAGGCAGACAGCGGGACGAGTGCGAGGCAGACAGCGGGACGAGTGCGAGGCAGACAGCGGGACGAGTGCGAGGCAGACAGCGGGACGAGTGCGAGGCAGACAGCGCGACGACAGCGACGTGCGGAGTGACTCCACTGCAGCGGCAGGCGACGCAAGGGCGGACCGAGGGAGCGAGAGCGCCTGGCGGGTATGCAGTCCCGTTACGCAGCGGTGCGCGCCGTGAGGAGGATGGCCTACCCCGCCAGGGGCTCCAGCCTGCGCTCCAGCCCGCCGCTCCACGCAGCAGACACCGCCTCTCCCTCGCCCCACGAGTGCGAGAGCGACGACTGCTGGGTCTCCTCACGTCTCCGGCCTCCTCGCGCTCGCGGTCCGGTCCAACTGAACCAGCTTCAACTTCCGCGGGCTGCAGCCCACACGTCTGCCACACTGCACGCTCGAACGACCCGACGCAAAGCCGAAGCGGCAATTTTGGAACTTTTTAAGCGCCCCCCACCCGCGGATCAGTAATTGGCACCTGTCGCACACCATTTCCCCGCTTCGCGCCAAATTCGAACGACTGGAACGCCCGAGTACAGTGCGGCCAACACACGCCGCGCAGACATGACGGACGGACGGACGGACAAAAATTCCACTTTATTAGATCATCTGGATCTGGCAGAGCTCTTACTTTGTCCCATTGCCCCAAAGGCCCCGTGACGAAGCAGAAAGCAAAAGCAGGTCCGAGACAGCGTGGGGAGCTAGCACATCTCGCGATAGCAGCAACGCGTGGACTGGTCTTTCTTTCTTTCTCTTTACCAAGCAAGTAAAAAATGTTTAAAAAATGTTTAAAAAACGTTTGAAATTTTTTTTAAAAAAATTAAAAAAAAATTAAAAAAAATTAAAATTTCCAAAAATAAAATTATTATTTTTTTTAAACTGAAAAAATTTTAAAAAATAAAAAAATAAAAAACAACTTACTACCCGACGAAAGAAAGGTTTCATATCACGTGTTAAAAAGTCACAAGTTTTGTTTTTCGAAAATCCACCCGCCGGAGGCACGCAAACGGTACCACCGAGGCAGCAAATCGAAGCGGAAAGATGAGCCGTTAATAGCGAGCCATAACTACCGCGCCACTGTCGGGGCCCTCCTCCGCCACTCGACGGAGTCGTGAAGCACTCGGCGGCGTTTCAGCGCGTCAGATAGCGGGGCGCGGTGGGATTAGTCCTGGATTAGACGCGGATCAGTGTAGGCACGCTCTCCATGGCCTACACCACCGTGGCCTACACTATGCAATTGTCCGTTAATCGTGGCAACTAAAGAAGAGGGGAGGGGGCACTCAAAAATCGCCACCAAGGTTCAAAGACCAAAAAGATTTATTTTTTTAAAAAAAGCTAGCTGACACATTGATGTGTCTTGTAGTTTTAGGTATGTTTTAAAGTAAAGGTATCATCTGCTAATGAAGTAGGATGCAAGCCGCGCGCATCGCTAATTGATTTAGGCCTCTGCAGTCCGAACGACGATTCCACCGCGGTACATCCCCCGAGAGTGCGAGAGAGACAGAGCGACGAGACCGCGGTTCGGAGCCGGCCTGCTGATACACTGCCACTGCCGCCCAAGCCAGGCCCACGCCCACTCGACGGCGATTGCAGAATGTAAGCCGCACAGTGATCGGCACCGGAACGATAAAGGCCCGCCCGGCTTGCAGTAAACGCTACCAAAATCCAAAGCAAGAATAATTTTTATTTTTTGAAAAATGCGCGCGTGTGTTGGCTACGGATTCAGACGCACCATGGCACATTTTCCACTGGCCAGAAGTATACGCTACATTTTTTTAAACTGTTGTTATTTACTTTTTGAAAAAGTGTCTAAATGGGCGTAGGGCGTGAGGCGGCAGACTAAGATGAAACAGCAAGTAAACCGCTATCTAAATCCGAGACTTTGATAATGCCGCGCCTACACGCGAAAAACAAGCATCACCTAATTGCCTCGAATGCTGACATTCTGTCGGGGAGACTGACGGCCGGCGGACGGACCGACCAATTGGTGCATCTTCGTCTTCGGCGGCGGAAAATTTACCTAATTGCGAATCCGAGACCTGCCAATGACTGTCGTTAGGCCGAAGGAGCGGTCGGCGCGGGACGGTCCGCGTCGGTGCGACAGAGACGGAGCGTACTGCTCCGAATCAATCTGCACGCGGCCGGCCCTGACTAGCCATGACCCCGGCCGGCCCGCAGCCCCCGCAGCCCCGGCTGAAACGAGTGTCGCCGCGCAGCGACGCGTCGAGGAGACGGAGACGGAGGACTTGAGGGACCAGCGGACGAGGCAGGTATATCACATGGTGGCAATCCGGACGACTCGCGTTGCGCCGCGTTGCGCCGCGTTGCGCCGCGTTGCGCCGCGTTGCGCCGCGTTGCGCGCCCCTCGGGAGCCCTCCGGCCTTGAAGGCGACACGCAGCAAGGGGCCCCACGCGGGGCCTCGAGGGGCCACGGGGCGCGTGGACTGCAGGGAGCGGCCCCTCCGCCCCCGAGGCCCGAGGCCCCAGGGCGCGTCGCGCGTCGCGCCATGGGGAGACCAACGCCGTATTTCACGCGTCAATATGACAGCGCAAGCGGAGACCGCCGCCGCCGCCGGAGAAAGAGAGGGTGGGGTGGACACTGGAAGACTGTCAACCGGGAAATAAAGACTTTGAAAAACGGAGGCCGAGAAGTGGGACTTCCCCCTTGTGAAACTGGGCCCACCGACAGTCCAAGTAAAATGAAAATTGAACTGGCATATTTTTGATGCGTGGCTCCCCGCCAGGCAAACCGCGCGCGGACCACAACACATCGACCGGCCGGCCGCACCACTGCAACATTCAACAGGCGTGTTTGCGGAAGAAAAACAAGAAAAAGAGGCGGCCGAAAAACCAGAACCAGAACCACGTGGACCTGGTGGACCGTAGAGCCGCCACCTGGGGGCACAGCCAGCGCGGCGCCACACTGCAAGACGGGGGGCTGGGCTGGGCAGCCTCGCCGCCTCGGTGCGGTCAAGGCGAGGCGAACGGCGGCCGGCCTGGAACGCGGGGGTGGACGACGATGACGGGGAGGGGAGCGAGAAAGGGGTGCGTAGAGGAAGAGGGTGGACACGCCAACGAAGCGGGTGAAGTTGCCGCTAGAGAGGGTGAAAACTAACGCCAACGAAAAGGGTGAAATTGGCGCCGTAGAGGTTGAAAATGTCGCCGTAGAGGGAGAAATTGCCGCCGTAGAGGGTGGATTTCCCTAAAGTAGAGGGTGGCAAAGACAGTAAACGGCGCCAAACGACCTGGAACAAGGTGGGCGTGCGTGGCGGGGAATGCTGCTGCCTGCGACACTCCCTGAGCACGCCCCTTGACTGCTTCGCGCGTCGCGTCGCGTCGCCTTCGCCTTGCCCGCCTTTGTCCTGCCAGACAGCCGTGCTAATCACTGCATTTTCTAAATGCCCGTCCCTGCGTGGCGACGGCGCCAACAACAAAGCGTCTGCCCGCGTCTTCCAGTGTGTGCGCGGCGCCGCGGAGGTCGCGCCCTGCTCGGAGTCGGCGGGGCAGGGACAAAAGGAGGCGACGGAGGCCCTCCGCTCCGCTAGCCCCGCTAGCCGCGCCACTCCAGCCCAGCCCGCCGTCCACCCCGCGGAGGAATTTTCCACCAATAGCCTCGCGATCGGCCCCCAGCCCGCCCCAGGGATGCCCAGTGCCGTGTACGACACTGCCAGACAAAACGACTACACTAGCAAGCTAGCAAGCCCGGAGATAAGACAGCCAAACCCCGGCGGATTTGACCGCGACAGACTCACCTGCTCCGGGGTGCGCGCCGCCGTTGAGCCCGTTGAGGCCGTTGAGCGCGCCGGCGTCCTTCTTGGTGGGGGTGATCATGACGCTGGTGGCGTGCGTCAGGGCCTCGTCGGCGGCGTCCGCGTCGTCTGCTAGCGACTCGGCTTCTGCCGTCGGAGCCTGAGACACATGAAGCCACGCGGCGTCGTCAGTGCCGTCCCGTCCGTCCCGTCCCGGCCGCGCTGCCTGCCTCGGCCTGCCTCGTCGACCAGCCCGCCAGCAGACCAGCAGACGGAGCACCGCGCGGGGTGCCGATCACGGCGTGCTCGTCGCCCGGGTGCTGTCCGCCGTGCCGTCCGTCCCGTCCGTGCCGTCCGCCAACGCCGCCGCTGCCAGACTGGGCACAGACCGGGCACCGCACGGCCCCCCCACACACTCACACACAGACAACGAACCTCGTGGCGACTCGCTCCCCTTTCACCCGCCCGCCCCCTTCCCTCCCGCAGTGCGGATGTGGTGTGTGTCTGTGAGAGGGTGCGAGTGTGTGTGTGTGAAGGAAGTCCGAGAGAAGCGCGCGCCGGCGGGGGGTGGGGGTATCTGGCGGGCTGGCGGGAGGGCGCGCAACCCCTCCCCCTCCCCCTTTGGCCCTCCGCCATCCGCGATGCGTCTTCTTACTTCCCTACGCCATTCATCCCGTCTCCCTTTCTCTTTCCTTCTCTCTCTCTCTCTCCCTCTCTCTCCCCACCTTCGCGACATTCTAATCTCCACCTTCACAGTGCTTCACAACCCCTCCCCCTCCATCCTTGGTGCCGCGGTGCCGCGGTGGCGCACGTGGCTGGCGAGTTCGAGAAAAGACGGGGAGCGGAAGGAGAGAAAGACAGTCAAACAAAAAAAAATGAGAAAATGAACTCACGAGGAAGAAGGGAGGCGACGCGGTTTACTCTTCTGCTCCGCTTTCATCGCGGTTTCGCACTTGGCGGCCGGTCTTCCGTCAGCCAGCAGGATTTCGATTATCGCGTGCAACAGCGTGCAACATTTTCGAGTAGGAGACATACGAGTCACGTATGAGAACGGCCGCGGGCCGCTGGATGTCTGCTTATCGCCACTCGCACTGCGGGCGGGTTCCGAACCCGTCGCTCTGTCTCGCTCGCGCGCTCGTGGACCGCGCCGTGGCGGTGCGAGAGAGACGGGGCGACGGAAAAGCGCAGCTCGGAATGGGAGTTGACGGCGCGCTAGAGGCCTAGAAGGTCCCCGCCGGCTGATACGAGATCAAGCCAGGCGTCGATCCGGTCGCGCGCGAGCTTCAGGCCGCTGCCGCTGCAAGCCCTGCAAGACCGATCCTCCCTTCCGTACAGTCGCGCGCGAGTGGAGCGCAGTGCAGCGAGCCGAAAAGGGAACTGGTTGTTTCCTTTGTCAAGCCAAGAGCGGCGTGCGGACACAGAGATGCGTCGACCTCGCGAGTCAAGGGCAAGGCCGCGGCCACGGAAACAGACTTGCCCAATACAGCGGGCCACTTGCTCTGGCGCTGGCCGCGCTAGCCGCGCTAGCTAGGCCCGAAGGCCCTGCCTCTGGGCCCGGCGGGGTCGGCGTCACGGCCGTCCGTACGTAGACTCATTGATACCCGCGCTACGATACTTGCAAAAAAGACAGAGACACTGCCGCGACCCGCCGAAGGTCCCATGTCAATTTTAACGGCACGTTTGAAAAGAAGCTGCCTTTTCGGATGAAAAATTCTTCCGTCGTGCGCGAAATTGAACAAACACCCGGGTGGTCTTTCGTTAAGGGGGTCTTTCACTTTACGTAACGCGAAGTGCGGGGGTTGGGTGCGACACCGCGCGCAGCCTGCACGTCGGTTAGGTTAGACGGCCAAATCAGCGTCACGTAATGAGTGGAAGGGAGAGAACCCAAATACTCGTCGCGGCACCGCCATTTATTTCTGAAGCGACGCGCCATTCCGACAAGCCTCCGACAAGTGCCCAGGACGGTTCGAGTCGCCGGCGACATTTGTCTTCATCGGGGCGACGCTGTAAGTGGACGCGCGGACGCGCGAATCCCCCCATACAGCCTCGGTGCAACTGCAAGCCAGCGGAGCTCCGTGTGGCCGCCCGTGACGTCAGAGTGACGTCACGAAGGGACGAGGTGCACAATCGAACAAAGTTCGACGGCATGCCATTAACAGCACAGTGCAGCAGAAAGAGCCGCCGGCCGCGCGGCCCAAAGGCGCGGCCCGAGCGGCGCGTCTTGCCGGTTTATTTTCAGTCCGGACGAGACGCTGCGGAATTACATAAGGGCCATACGGGGCGCCAGCGGGCCAGCGGGCAGGCAATGGCGAGGACGTCGACTAGGTCAGGATCAAGACGCGTCGCGGCGCGTCGCGGGGGACAGGGTGGCAGCAGGCGAACACACTCATTGGACGCCGACAACGAATAGTTTCCCCCAAACTGATTGACAATACACGGCGGGCACCGCGTCGACCCGGAGCTGCCTGGTACTCGGCTGGCGGTGAGTAAGCCAGCAGCTTCGCCTAGCTTCGCCGAGCACGGCGGGCAGCAGGCACGGCTCAGCTGCACGAGGGGTTGCCTACCTTCGGGCGGCGAGGCCGGCGAGACGCCACGGCCCGGCGGGAGGGGAGGGGGGAGGGGAGGGGGAAGGGGGAAGGCATCTCAAGCCGGGCGCATACAAAAGGGGCGGACTCCGCCCATATCCTTCCTCGCTAAGCGAAGTTAGGGACAATGGCCATACAGTCAATGGCCATCCACGAGTTACGTAAGAAAGCTTAGGTCAGATGCAGTATGCTTGACTTGAATTAGCTTGGGTCACCAATGATGCTCTGCTTTTCGGGTGCGTGCGATACGGCGGTAGTAAAGTCAGCTCCGAAAAAACACCTAACGCGTCAAATTGGACGCATACGGCAGCTGTCAAATGGGCTCTCCGTCCCGGCGTTACATAACATGGGTAACCGCTGACGTGTCCTTCTGGTGGTGACGCAGCCCGAAAATCGAAAGCCGTTGACGGAATGAACGCACGCGCGCGCACCCACCACGCTCATGCATCGTCACGCGCGCACGCACGCAGGGCCGGCCGCGCTGCTGCAGGCAAGGCCTGGCAAGGCCACGGACAGGGAAACCCCGAACGGCAAAGCGCCTCCCGAAAAGAATCGGCCGAGCGCGAATATTCAGAATGAACGCGGCCAGACAAAGGTCGGAGTAGTACACGGCGACAGCGCGCCAGCGCGCCAGCGAGAGGCGACAAGTGCCTACGTGCAGTCGCTCGTCCAGTCTGTGTGGCGCCACGCCGCGCCCTGCCGTGCCGTGCCGCGCCTCGCGGCTCACAGTGCATCGGCCGCGGGGCAGTAACAGCGCCAAACAGCGATCATGACCCACATTCGCCACGCCGTGGCTGCACCACCGCGGCTACACTGCCCACTTCCTCCCATCCGAGTTGTATGAATGCGGCGCGCGTACTCACTCACACACACACACGCACTAGGCACGTCTGTGCACCTGGGTTCGACGGTCCGTTCATGGTAGACAGCCGCGACCCGCAACCTAGCTCAACATTCCACCGCTTCTTAGTTCTGTGCAGTCTTTTAGAGTGCTGGGGCTTTAACTGGAGCCGAGCCTTCCATGCATTCAGGAAGGCAGCCAATCCACAAGGGGTGGCTCGGACATTCTACGAAAAATCCTTGCCAGCTGCTCCTTCCAGTCAGAACCGCACGCTGGCTGTTGCCAACAAGCAAACATTTAAATTTTGTCGGGATTAATTTTTGGCGTGTCCGCCCGGCCGGAGAGACTCGACACTCAGCCGACCAGTCTTTTACTCTTTCGTGGAAGTGAGTTATCATAAGATAAAATAACATAATCTCACAACATGAAGCAGAGATGCTGAAAAGGCAACGGACACGCGCGAGGCGGAGCTCTGGATTGTCGTGAGGTCAAGGGGTCCTCTAGCCTGAGTTTTGGTGCAGGTGTAATCGGTGTGTGAAATCGATTATGGGATTGATATCGATTTAATTGCTGAGTGCCTGCTTGTGTCCAAATTGTTAGACTGATCAGGCGAGTGCAGCTGATCGGCTAAGTGCAGGAAGCCCCTTCAGGACAGAATACTTCCAAGAACTGATCTGACGCAGCTGTCTACAATTTCGCACTAACAGTGTATGATGTAGCACCCTCACTGCACTGTCACTCCACTTGAAGCGACAGGAGATGGACTCTTCAGACTCCCCTTATCGCAGAAATGGAGGGCGCATCTCGAATCAGGCTGCTAAACGATTGCTAATGTGAGTGCCGGCGCCCAAATCCTGACTTGCACAACTAACTTGCGGCTTGTGGCTTGCAGTTGGAATTGACGCGCACAAGCCTTAATGACGTAACGTCCAATGTCACACATTGTACACGTGAGTAAACACGAGCTTTCCATCGCGGTCTGAATGGGCTTAATGATAGACTGCAAGGCAGTCATCAACAGAAAGGTCGACTGTAGCTCACGTGCTTTTCCGAATTCGTTACACTGGAAAGAGAAACGCCAGTGAAACTTGCAATCTAAGTTTGGATGGGTTGATGTGCCGAGCCGAACCATGATACTTTGTTCCTCGCTACTCGTCGAGCAGTCGACCCACATTTGCAGCACAATCTCTTCGCGACGGTTTTGCGTGACGTAAATCAACTCACCCTCTTGAGCAGCTTGTCCATCTCGGGGCTGGTGGTCATGCCGTTGGTGGACCCGTTGCGCCCATTCCGCGCCACGCCGTTCTTCTTGATGGTAGGCATGGTGTCTGTGGTGGTGGCGGCGGCAGCAGCTCTACCTCATCACCGTCCTGGAACTGCAGAGACGACGCCGGTCAGAATCCGGGCAGGCACACGCGTGAGCGCAGGCAGTCAAATGGGGCGGGAGAGAGACCTAGCGGCCGGGCGGCAGTGCGCAGTCAAATGGGGCAGCAGACGACGCGGCAGACGACGCACTGCAGCGCTGGAGTGACGCACCGGCGATGCCGGCGGGGCTGGCGGGGCTGGCGGGGCTGGCTGGCGTCGGGGGTAACGAACTAGCGTCCACGGGCGGCTGTGCCGGTCTGTGCAGCTCGCCAGTCGCAAGGCGTCGCAGGCGTCGCAAGCGTCGCAAGGGCGGCCAGCTGCAGGGCACGGCGCCACGGTGCGGTGTGCGCTACAGCCGCTACACGCCAGAGTACTTGACTGACTGCTGGGGCACGAACACGCGGTACGCGGGACGCGGCGGGACGCGGCGCGGCCGGCGGGAAGGCACGGCAAGGCTCGGATCGGCCGGCGTGCCGCCTAAAGGTGGACTGGCGCGGCCGCGGGACAGCGGCACGGCGGCACGGCGGGGAGGGGGCGTGGAGCGCGGGGCGTCGCGGGGCGTCGCGGGGCGTGAGCGGCACCTTGACGACGTGCCCTGCCCTGTCCGCCAGTGTGGGCACCACGCCGGAAGCGTGCTCGCCGGGAAGCGGAGTCAACGGTGGGGTGAGTGAGAGAACGAGTCTGGAGCGACAAGATTCCAGCCCTCCTACTGACAATATTCCACAGGACTGGTCAGCGAGTTCATAACATCCAACACGAGTCAGCGATATTTGGCTGGAGGGCCACGCACGTCGCCTCAGACATTGGTTTCACCCGACGGCTACAGTAGAGCGCTCTGTCGCCCTGTTGCGACTCAACGAGTCGGCGCCACGCACTTCTGCTCATGGCCGGCCGGCCGCACCACGTGCTGGCCAGTGCTGGCCGCGCTCTCGTGACTCGGCCCTCCTGATTTGTGTTTGGTCTGAGGACGCCGTCAACCAGAGCAGCCTGAAGAGCGGCCGATGAGTTGCCCGTCTCGACGCGTCAGGGTCGAGGGGTTGCCTGCCTGGTCACCCGGCTGACACGTCAACGCAACCCTTCGGACACCCATCGCGCTGTCTTCCCCTCTCGCTCTGTCCTCTCCGTCTTTCGAGCCTTTTCCTATTCGACACTGCCTGCGTCGTCGCCTGCGTACGAGTACGCGCGTCTCCGATTTCCCGTCCGTCGGCAAAGAGGATACCCGGTCCGCCCGCACTTCCACCGACTCAGCAGCGCCAGAGCGTCGCGTCGGCACCGTCGGCGCGCCGGCCCGCCGCGTCGGGTAAATCCGGATGGCTAAGCGGATAGCCGAGAACCGGAAAGCGAAGCAAAGTGAAGCGATGAGGTGGCGGCGGCAAGGCACTGCAAGGCACGTCCTGCAGCATGGCCGCCCGGCCGTCGTGCCGCGCAACGTGTACCGCCAAAAAACAAAACAAAAAAAAAGAGGCGGTTGGAAGCCGCCGGTGCACGTGTTGGGTATTGAACGTTCCCATCGCAAACACGTTCTCACACTGCAAAAAATGTGGGCACGCCGGCCCGGGCGAGGCGCACGTTTTATCCATGGTTGGAACAACTTTTGGCGCGCGGCGCTGATTGTGTCACGTTGCTGCACTGCAGACTGTCTGTCTCTCTCGCGCACATGGGGCGTCCACTGTAGGTGCGAGAGAGACAGACTCCGGAATCGGTGTACTGCATCCGGCGGCACATGTGACGCGACCCCAGTCTCACATGACGGGCCGCGTGGCTAGACCGTCTAGGCGGGCTGGACGTGAGACGGCTTCTGCCTCTCATTATTTCGACTATGACTTGACACTTCGCCGAAGAGGCTCCACAGTGCGTCAAGGATGAGCGCGGTGCGCCGTGACGTCACTCGCGTGTCACTCCCGTGTCACTCGCAGTGAGAACAAGAGCTCTCCCAGTTCGAACGCTGCGGCGACGGCGGCGCCAGGGCGGCGCGGTCCGCCAATCGAACCGCGTCGCGCTTCGCGGAGGTGGTTCGTTCACGGAATGTGGGTCGCAGCCATCCCGGCATCTAATCTCTTATTTCTCTCTCGCGGTGGAGCGCAAGGCGCGCAAGGCGCGCAAGGGAGGCGGCAGGACCCTTATCGGAGTCCAAAGCGCCGAGGCGGCGCTCTGAGGAGAAACTCGGCTGGAAGGAGAGCTGCTGCACTGTGCTGCACTTGCAGCCTGCAGGTCGTGTCCTTGTTGTTGGCTTTTATGGCGACGAAACGTGAATCAAGGTGGTGGCGGCAAATGATAGGGCACGCACACCGTGACACACACACACACAAGAGCGCGGGGATTTACGTCAATGTTTCCTTTGAATCCGTTTGACTGGCGCGCCAAGGACCTGGACGATTTTTTGAAAAGAAGCCCGCAGATCACAAGTAAGCGTAGTTTTCCACTTCGCAGTGGCTCGCTCCTCGAAGTTGGGATGCTTATTTTGTGCGGACCTACGCGACGGGGGCCACGCCGGGAACAGGACCGACTAGTTCAGGGTCGGCGTTTATTTTTCGTTCAAAAGTTATGACACATCCAGCTGGGGGATCGCTACGTTGGCCTGTTATTAATTTCAGTGAACAATAGATTTCGTCTTGGCCGCTTCGTTGTTTTGTTGGTTTTTTTTGTCGTTTTTCTAAATTGCTTTTGCCATTTGTGGTGTTTGCCGGAGCGTTCTGCGTGACCGGATTCACAGGTTCGCCGCGCCATAATTTACGGAATCGAAAACGTCCGCGACGCCGAAGCGAGCCCCCTCAAAGTACTCGCGGGGATCAGAAACACCACGTCTTGGCTCCGTTTCCACGTGCTCCGGCACCTTGGCCGTGAACCTTCGGAGGCGACACTGACAGCCTCGCAGACGCGCCGACGCGCCGACATGACATGGGAGACTCGACAACGCCTCGACGCCGCCACACTGTACAGCCGGGACCGGCTCGGCCGGCTCGGCTCTCCACACGCACGTCTAGGTGGTGTGTCCTTTGGTTCGGTCGTCCGCGCAAACAATAAAAAAGCAGCAAAACAAAGATGGCGCTGTGTTGACCCAGTCCGAGAACTGCCGCCATTTGCTTCCATTTGCGCAAGGGCGCCGGAAGTGGGGTGCGGGGGGGGCGACTTGCCCCCCCCAAAATCTGGTGGGGGGGGCATCGCCCCCCCCATTTTCAGACACAAAAGTGTCATTTTGAGCTCGGAATAGAGAGAAAAATATAGCAAAGTCGCAAATTCTTTGATTTTTGGCTTCTAGCTCGCTTTGCTCGCAAGTTTCTTTCATTTTCCTCTATAATTTTACCGTTTGGCTCGCTTCGCTCGCCAATAAAGCGTGTAAATAAGCTCTGAAAAAGGCAAAAGTTGTGCTAAATTCTAGAATTGTGTGAATTTTTGCTTTAAGCTCGCTTCGCTCGCTGGATTTGTAACATTTTTAAAGAATTCTAAACCATATTGGGTGTTGCCCCTTAACAGTAGGCAACCCATCAATATTTCATAAAAATTTCGCCCCCCCCACCAGAAAGTACTTCCGGCGGCCCTGCATTTGCGCTGAGTAGCGACGCCTGTCGACGCCTGCTGGCCAAACAGTGTCGTCAACGAAGTGTGTGTGTCTGTGTGTGTTCAAGAGTTGCCGCTCCCACGCAAACCCGCTATGCTGTCACCATTTTTCAGCCAACTCATTGGGGAGAGGGAAAAAAACGAATCATGAATGAACGTCATCGACTTTATCCTCTTAAAATACAAATAAAAGTAAAGAAAATTGAAAAAATTGACTACAAAATCAGTTTGAGAATTGCATTCAAATCCAAATCCATGAGATACAGCCATCAACTTACAAATTTAAAATGAACCATTACATAAAACAGTTTGTTTCCGAAATAAAATTACAACGTTTACTAAAATATATATATCACAGAAACATTGACATAAATGGGTCTCGTGTCAAACACCGGCCCAGCCACGCGACGCCGCGACGGCGCGCGGAACGGAAGGTGGAGCCAGCGCGCCCGGCTGCTAGGCAACACTGGGCGCGCGTGCAGTGGGCTTGCCTACCCTCGACTTCGTAGGCGCTCGCTCTGCCTGGCTGGAGTCCTGGCTCTGCACAGGCCCAATGGCGTAGGAGTTTCTCACAGTAGCTTTGGCACAATCTTCGCCAACCACAGGCTTCGGCTACCGCCAGATGGTCTCCTTGGCCACCAGCTTGAGGGCGAAGTTGGCGGCGCGCAGCTGGTGCTGCAGGTGGCGGACCTCCTCCTGCTGGAAGCTCCAGACGAGCAGGTTGCCCAGCTCCTCCAGGTCGGGGCAGCGCTCGCGCACCAGGCGCACGCTGTCGGGGGTGAGGCAGAGGCGCGGCACGGCCGAGCCGACGGCCGAGCCCGCCGCGGTGGCGGCCGCGTTGCGCGCCGGCAGCAGCACGAACAAGGTCCTGAGCGCGGTGCAGTCCATGGAGTCCAGCACGAGGCGCAGCCACTCGTCCGTCACGTCCACGCTGTTGACGGCCACGTACAGCTTGCGCAGCGCCAGCACGTCGCGCACCAGGCCCTGCATGAAGGCGGCGGGCAGGCGGCACACGGACCGCTCGTCCCAGCCCACCCGCAGGGACAGGTTCTCCAGCCGCGCGAACCGCCGGCCAGGGGGGTGGGCGTCGTCCGCCACCGGGACCGGCGGCGCGTCCAGGTTCAGGAAGTTGGCGCGCATCCACAGCTGTCGCAGCTGCGGGCAGTGCCGGCCGATGACGTCGAAGTGCTCGGCGCTCAGGCTGTGCGAGTAGATGGTGAGCTCGGTGAGGCGGCCGCCGTGCAGCCGCAGGTACTGCAGCGTGTGCGGGCCGAGCGAGGACGGCTTGGCGGCGGCGTGGAAGCGCAGCTCCAGCGACTGCAGGCTGCGCAGCGAGGCCAGGTGGCGCACGTCGCCGTCCAGCGCGCGGACGCGCAGCTCCTCCAGGTCGGGGCACAGCACTCGCAGCGCGCGCACCAGCGGCGGCCGGCAGCGGAGCCGCGTCGCCTCGTCCGCGCCCTTGCTGCGGTGCGTCGCCGTCTCCCCCAGGTTCGTCACCTTGGTGAGCCGCAGCGTGCGCCGCTCGTCGCCGTCCTCCTCGGCGGTGCCCCAGGCCTGGTGGAACAGCACCAGCACGGCCGCGCCCACCTCCTGGTGGCCCAGCACGCGGAGCCGCGGCAGCTCCTGCAGCACGCCGGCCAGCACGCCGGCGGGGAGCACGCAGTCGTTGAGGAGCAGCTCCTCCAGCAGCGGGCAGCCCGCGCACAGGCTGGTGAGGCCGCACGCCGACACGGCCGTGTTGTGCGACACGTCCAGGAAGCGCAGCCCGGGGCAGTGCAGCGCCACGGCGTGCAGCACGTCGTCCGAGCACACCGGCAGCGTGAACTGCTGGCCGTGCGTGCCGAGCGACAGCCGCGTCAGCTGCCGGAGCCGCGGCAGCGTCTCCAAGAGCCTCGCGCTGAAGGCGATCTGGTCGCCGGGGTCCACGCGGCCCAGCCACACCAGGGGGGACATGTCGACGGTCGTGACGGAGTCGGCCAGCACGTCCAGCAGCAGCAGCGCGTCGGTGCCGCCGGTGGCGCGCAGGTCGATGTAGCGGGACACCACGGTGGACGTCAACGAGTCCACCATGCGCGACGGCAGCTCGGACAGCAGCGACCTGGCGGCCAGGGCGTCCACCGAGGCGCGCGCCAGGATGCTCTCGGCGAGGACCTGCGCCACGCGGTCCAACAGCGACGACGGCGGCCTCCTCGCGCCCCGGGCCATCCTGGCGAGGGAGCCTGCCGAGTCCGGGGCCTGGGCGGCCTCGGCGGAGAGGTTAGGGCGGCCCATCATTGCCAGGTCGCGGGTCTTCGTGACGGCCGTGCCCGCGTGCGTCGCTCCTCACGCTGCATCGACAAGCCTGGTGGCGGTGACCATCTTCTGTCGGGAAGGGATTCGGTCCGGGAACGCGGACATAAATGCAACACCAAGTAAATTTCGTCTGCTCCAGTGCTTCTCGCCTTCTCTCTCTCGCCACTGCTTGTTTTTGTTTGTTTATGTTGTAAAACATTGACCAACAGTAAGGAAGCGAAACGCAGGTGGTGTGTAGCCTGGCTGATCGAATGAATAGCGAGTAAATTCGTAAATGGATTGATTTTCAAAAGAAGGAAACCTTTTCGGCAGTAGAGCATTTTGAACAAAGTCAGGAGCTCTTGCTTCGCTTCGAGCCCGGAGTTGGTTCGCCTAGGTTGGTACGGCTTCGCTTTCACTTTTTAACAAACGACAAGAGCCTCCCCCCTCGCCTCTCCCCTTCGCGTCCCCCTCCCCGGTCGCGCTAACCGAACCGGGTTACGAATGGTCTACTTTGTCTTGTAACACTTCAGACCGAAAGTTTAGGACTGCTCGCGTACAGTTCCAAGATTTACGGGGCAAGGGAAGTCCGTTTAGCGCCTATGGAAGGGAATATTTTATTTTTCTCCTGCAGAGAACTAGCAGCCCTGTGACACGTAAGTAACGCAATGGTCCTTTGCTTGCAAGAGCTGCAATGCTCAATGATTTTGGGGCCACAGATGCATATGCAAAAGCCAGACCAAATTGAAACCACTTGGGTTTCGCGTTCTTTGAACCGCTCCTGAATTATAAATTTCCCTTCAAAGGCCGTTCCAAAACTCCGTTGAATTTGGATAGGAAAAATCGGGTTAGGTTATGATACGATACGCTTTCATTGTTATTTATTGCTTACCATGTAAATCTGCTGTGGTTAATTTAATTTACATTTTTCCAACACTGCATGTAGATTAACCCTTTATTTGTTTCATACTCAAGAGCTCTAAGATATTGATAATGTCCTTAATTTTGAACTCCAGGTTAGGGCTGCTGCCTCGTCATACAATTGCAACTTTTCAGTATCACAAACAAACCGTTGTTTTTGTTCGTTGCAGTATACAATGGAGCTGGCCAGTGATTTGTCATCACTGCAAATTGAAGAAAACAGAATGGTAGAGGGGACATCAAATCTCTCTGCTAACCCAGAGATAATGTCCACAGATGAACCCGAAGAAGAATCGCCCTCTGCAGCATCTCGTCGGACTCGATCGTCAAGGAAACGTGTCCGTGCTGTAGCAGTAGCCTGCACAGCCAGGCCACAATGGAAGAAAAGACTTCAAAATCTTGACACTGACGAGAAGAAAATCTGCTTGTTTTACACAAATGTTAACAAAAATTGGAAAACAAAGCACACTAATTTAGAAACTATTTTTGAAGAACCAAAAGAAAGTAGGGATGGAAATGAAATGACTATGTCTAAAGCAAAATTGCGCAGATCACTGATTTTCAATACTGATCGCGTTACTAAAGCTAAGAAGGAGAGGAGAAGAAAGGCTATAACCAAAAATAAATCGGATGTGATCAAAGCAAAGATAGCAAAATCTGGAGTTTGACTTATTCGGACTGTGTCAGCTGAACATTGACTCTGTGAAAGCTGGAATGTGATTAATATAGGGACTGTGTTTAGTTTAAGTTTAATTGAGTATTTTAAGCTGCCAAGGAAATAACGAGTCCAGCTTTTGGACAAGCCATGTATGGTTTGGGACCGTGTTTTTGATTTGAAATGAATTAAATTTCAAGTTTTCTTTCATCCAAGTCTTATTTTATTTGAAGAAAGAGAGAATGGAATGTGCACTGATAATAGTAAGAAAATAAGGGAATAAAAGCTGTTCATATCTAGTCATCATTTCTAATATAACACGATTCTGACTCAGGTGAACAATCTTCATACTCTTCCACATTGCCTTTTCTCTGGGGAGATGTCCTCATTTCTTCAGAGAATTGAATACATGCGCAGCGAAAAGAATCCGAACCTGGTTTGTAATACTTTCGAGGCACTCCAGTCCAGTCTCGTTCAATTCCTCCACTGAACAAGGAAAAATATTTTTGAGTTCTCCTGTTTTCGAAATTTAAAATACTAATTGGTTCAGTTATATGTAAAAATTTATCTGGACCTACCTTCGATTGCTGCACCAGACTTTGCTACCAGCTTCTGGCGTCCACTCGACATTGCAAGGGGGATATTTTAAATAGTCAGCATTTTTAGCTGCATTTTCATCAACAGCTTGCTGGATTAATTTCTCTATATTTTTGTAATAATCTGTACGTTCTCCTGTTGAAGTGTAATATCGTCCAACTACCTTTCCTACAAGTGAATCGAAAGAATCGTATAACAGTTGATTTGTGCAAGAGAAATTTTCCACCAAAAATTAAGCAAACCTTTGTAAGAGTATTCCTTATTGTAGAATAATGACCAATCTTGAATGCTCTTAAGATCATCTGAGGAGAGTCCCATGACATCGTCTGTGGTGCCAGCCTCACTGAAGTCTCCCGTGACAAATGCCCTAGAGGCATCCCGCCCTATCAATTAAACATTATTTCAATAAATGTAGAGCCCACTTTAAACCATGTAGGAACAAACTCAACAATCATACATACCAGCAAAAGAATGATAGCTGCCACCTGGACCATAGTGCTTCCTGCCCTTTGTTACATCAAAAACTTTCCCAAATATTGCAAGATAAATCCCCGGACTGCCCTCCTTGCCATTAAACCTTGATAAATCCTCCTCAGAGAAGAGGATTTCTTCATTCATGGCTGATGTAGAATGAGGTGCAGAGGTGGACAGCATGCGTTTTAAATCAATAATATAATTGTGGACTTTTGTTAATGTACTTCCCATGTATGGCATGCTGTCTTGCGATAACAGTCTATGCGGGTCAAGTTGATAGTATGATGCCAACACAGCTAATACAGCAACTGCTAAAGCCCCCCGAGCTAGTAGGCTTAAGCAAGACATCATCTATCAATGATCACCAAATAATGCTCAAATGAAACTGGTTTTCCAAGAGCCTTAACCTGTATTACTTAGTAGTTCTTCTTTTCACAAAGGTTTCGTGGCCATTCACCAGAAAGAAACGCAAATATTGCAAAAATCTAAATATCGTGCCAGTGTCTAAATATCTTCATTCATGGAACGCCAGCATTTATGAGACATGACACATGACGGTAGTGAAGGGTTTATCCACTATCTTTTCAGTGTACTGCAGTAAGTACATCAACATCCGCGTCGTCCGCTCGCACATACCTGAGTCATGTTTCTCGTGTTTATCGCTGGAAAATGAAATCCCAAACAGCATCTGACGACACCAGGAGTTGATTTGATGAATGAAGTTCCTCACACACGCTATTTCATGACACAACACTTCTCCTTTCAACGTGATAACGAAACAATGTTCAGTTTTTCTGGTCTGCAGAATTCGGATATTGGCAGACTTTCGCATACTCGGGCCGGGCCAGACAACGCACTATTTCCGCTTCCGTACCAATAGTGTTTGGGCGGGACGCATGAAAAGCGTTGGGAAGCCTTTTTCGGTTTTCCATTCCGCGAATATTCGATTGTGTTTGACATCGTTTTTCTGGTTTTCGTCGAGGGAGGCAAAATCTTTTCCTCACGGCTGAAATTGCCTGCTGGCATCGTCTCGATTCGGGGTCCTTAAAAATTACGCAAGGCGCGCCCCGGTCGTGCTGCACCTTCAGTTGTTTTTTTGCGTTCGTTCCCACTTTCACGGGCTCGTCTCGTATGTCTCACCTCACACATAACCCCATTTTGTCACATGAAGGTGTAGATCGGCTCTTGAGAACAATATTTGTTTTTCCTCGCAAGTGTGCATTTCACAGGCAGCATTGTGGCTGTCCTAAATGTGCTGTAGTGCGTAACGTGTAAAATGGCTGGAGCTGTTTTTGACATTGAGCTTCACGATGATGATACAGGACAACTCGATGACTCAGACGATGATGCTATTGAAGTAGAGGAAGTAAGTTGCCTTTTCAGCGCACAGCGTCCTTTATTGTCCATTTGGCATCGAAAGGTGCTTTCTCCTTCCCGGAGTCACCGCGATCGCACACTGTAACGACCCAGGATGTGGTCGTTGAGGTTAACATATCGGAGGTTGGCGAGTGGGAGCTAACCTTGGCGACCCTGAATCTCCGTCGTCTCTCACGATTTACCTTAAGCTCAAAAATGGAATCACAAGATTAAATTTTATCATCTATTATGTCCATTTTAATCACTGATTTAATTAATCTTTCATTCGTGTGTTGTCACAATCAGCCCATTTCATTGATGATAGACTTGACTGTGTAACAGTTTTGTTTACCTTTGACATTCAATGCCCAATCACTTTACAATCTGTTAAATTTATTTCCCAAACGTTCAGTTATTATCATTAGTTATTTTGATTCATGTTCTTCCCCAACTCCATGATCATCAATAGGCTTTTGGCGTAAACTTTATTTCTGTTAATATTTTCCCCTCTTACCATCTGCCTCGATTGTTTTGGACCTGTCTCAATTTGATTAGTTGCCTTAAACAAGATCTATCAGGAGCTGTACAGTAATAAACTTTGCGGTGGTTAAGAATCCCTTGGATATGTGTAATTTTGAATCGAGAAAAAGACGGGAGTTACTGGGTTTCATTTATTGCTGTGTTAGACATGAACCGTACACAAGCACAGGCTCCTACCATTTTGTGAAGCCAAATGCAGGTTAGCTATAATCAATCTTCTTTTTTCAGGGTGGCTATGATCCTGACCCAGATGTGAATGCCATATTTGAGTAAGTACTCGCAGAACGTTTGTGTTTATTTCCTTGAATTTTGATTTCCAGTATTCTTATTTGAGTTGTCATGTTTTTCAGCTCTGAAGATTTGGAAACTGTTCATCTATCTGAACAAAATATAGGCAAGGAAAAGACTGGACCTGTGGACTTTGAATTATTAAAGGTTTTAGGAAAAGGTGGCTATGGTAAAGTGTTCCAAGTAAAGAAGCGCTCTGGTCAGGATGCGGGCACTATATTTGCCATGAAGGTTTTGCGAAAGGCCTCAATTGTGAGAAATCAGAAGGACACTGCGCATACTAAAGCAGAAAGAAATATCCTTGAGGCTGTCAAGGTGCGTTATTGACAATACACATAAGTCTTTGCCAGTGCATCTTGTACCATTACAATTTGTCTTATATGCTTTCTTTCTTCTGCTGTAGCATCCTTTCATCGTAGACTTGATGTATGCCTTCCAAACTGGAGGAAAGTTATACTTGATTTTGGAATACTTAAGTGGAGGGGAATTATTCATGCACCTTGAACGAGAAGGCATTTTCCTTGAAGATACAGCTTGGTAAGAAATACTCAAGACCTATTTCATTTATTTTTTGTTTGACTTTGTTGTTGCTTATGTTCTTTCCCATTTGTTTCAGTTTTTATCTCTCAGAAATTATTCTTGCATTGGAACATTTACATAGACAAGGAATAATTTATAGGTAAACTGGAGTTCCTTTTTTTTTTCTTGATAGAGTGGTTGTTTGTCCCATTGTTTAGTCTCATTTAATAACTTCCTTGTAACGGAACTTTACAGGGATCTTAAACCTGAGAACATTCTATTAGATGCTCATGGCCATGTTAAACTTACCGATTTTGGACTGTGCAAGGAACACATTCAGGAAGGCATTGTCACACACACATTTTGTGGCACCATTGAATATATGTAAGCAATTTGCCAGGGTTCCATCATATGCTTTTATTATTGCCATCAAGATTTTTCAAATCAAACTTTGTGTTGTTTTTTAACTAGGGCACCTGAAATCTTGACTCGAAGTGGCCATGGCAAAGCTGTAGATTGGTGGTCACTAGGAGCCCTCATGTATGACATGTTGACTGGAGCTGTGAGTATATGAGACTTGTTTAACTTTCCAGTACTGCTTACCTTCCTTTGTTACTTCATTTGTCTAATGAAACAAACTTTCAAATTACAGCCTCCATTTACTGCAGAAAACAGGAAAAAGACTATTGAGAAGATATTAAAGGGAAAGTTAAATCTGCCTCCTTATCTTACTCCAGATGCTAGGGATCTAGTTAGAAAGTTACTTAAGGTAAGTAAAGCTTAAATTGGTCATATGTCAATACAAGACAATATCTTATCTTTTCACTAACAGCGTTTTTTCATTGTCAAAATATTAACAGAGACAGGTTAGCCAAAGATTGGGCACTGCTTCTTCTGATGGAGAGGCGATTCGCGCCCATAATTTCTTCAAGCACATCAGTTGGGTAGATGTTCTTGGTAGGAAGCTGGAACCCCCTTTTAAGCCATCCCTGGTAAGTGCTCCTTGTATTGTGCTTTTGCACACAACATGGTTGCCTTTGTCCCCTTATTATTTCATGTTTTTTGTTGTTTTTTTCTTTTAGTCAGGTGAAGATGATGTGTCCCAGTTTGACATAAAGTTTACCAAGCAAACACCAATTGATTCTCCTGACGAGTCAACTCTAAGTGAGAGTGCCAATATGATTTTCCAGGTATTTTGAGGTTTGATATTATTTTGTGTAGTACCAGCTTGCGCAAATTTGTCCATTAACTGAAGTGAATCTCTTTCAGGGTTTCACTTATGTTGCTCCTTCAGTACTAGAGGAAATGCACAAAGGTCCAAGGATTGTAAAGGCCAGGTCCCCAAGAAAGGGACCCTTTGGCACGTCAGGACCTGGTTCACATTCTATGAGAACACCTTTTAGCCCACGACACATTTTGCATCCACTTTCTCATGGTCATGCATTAGCTGGTTTTACATTTGGACATCAAGCTTCTTTAGATCAAAACCCTTGTCAAGAAGAGTATATGGAAGTTCAAAGTCCACATGTATAGTAAGTATGAAGACCAATTGATTACCTGGAGTCGACTGATGTGGGATATTACTTTCCTAGATTTAACTTCCAATAAGTTATCAGAAAATTTAACCAGCAAAATATTTGTTTTTTTCAGGCCCTGGCTCCCATCTAGGCAATTAGCAGATATTGTTTTGCACGGCATTTGGTCTATTACCAACCTTTTATATTTTAATGGTAACATAGATTGTAACCTGAGAGAGTTCAAAGGTTTTGTGTGACCTTAACTCTGTGCATTAACTCTGTTGAAACTTTGGAAAACTTTGGAAACTTACCATTGTATGCCAATTTTGGCTATTGACATTTCCCCCTTTCTTTTTGCCATATTTTATTTGCCATGTCTTATTTCAGACATATCGACTGATTCTGGTTTCTTTTCTGTCAGTTCCACAAGCACTCAAACTTTCCACATTTTTGGGATGATTTATCAATTACATATTTTACAAGGTTTGTTAGTAGTTTTACATACTGGTTGTGTTGCATTTCTTTGTACATATTTTCCAAGCATAACAAAATGACTAACTTTTATGAACATTTTGTATAATTTTAGGTTTGAATGCTTGAGGAACTGATCTGTTGGTACCCACAAATTACTTAAATCTCTGTAATTACCTTTTGCTAGTGCAAGGATATTTGAAAGTCTGTGTAGGTTAGGAAATAAACTACTGATCTAAAGAATATTGCTGCTGAGTGAGCATTATTGACCAATATGTGATTCATAATCAGTTTTGCTTTACTCTTTTATTGACAAATTAAATAACTCATGTAGAATTGATGACATTGTGTGTGTATTTTGGGGATTTTTAGTTGTTAAGGCATTTTATATTGGATGCTAATGGAGTTGCAGACATAGTTTATTATGTTGGTTACCAGTGGAATCTGCTTAAGTTGTTATGAAGTATCAGCCAGCTGCTGATCCATTAGCGTGGTGCTTTGTTATATCTATTCCATAGTTATGGAAAAGAATCAATTTCACTATTTTACTTATTGTCTGTGTTTGCCTTGAATATCATGTTCCTAAAGACAGCAGGTAAAGTTTCACAGCCTTAGGACTCCTTCTATTATTTTGTTTTTTTCTTTAGAAGGAATTGGAAGGTTTAAATGATGAATGATTAATTGCAGCAGCATATCAGGCGCTTGTTTGAAGCCACCCTGTCAATAAGTTGACATCAATATTTTGCTCCTCTTACTTAATTAGTTTGTAGTTGTTATTATTAAGTGACATGTAAAGTGGCGTTTAACTAATGCTGGAAAGCTTTGATTCCAGCACACTGCTGCAATACCAGGCTGTTTTTGTGACTTTCACTTTCTTTATGTTCTATGATCTTATCTTTTCCCTTTGTGAAGCTTTCATTCAATATTATTTTTAAATTCTAGGATGAAAGCTGCCTTGTTTTATTTGTTTTTCTGGTGTGATCAGTGCACGCTCCAATACTCAATTAGTAATTCTTGATATGGATATGACCTTTTAGCTGTGATGCAGTCACTTTCTGTACTCCCATACTAGCACAAGCTCTTGCGCCACTGACATGTAACTTTATATCATTCAACTACAGTGCCCATTGGTTCTGACCTAAATGATTTTACTGCGCTCTGTTTGTTCTCTAGGAAAGCGAAAAGTTGTATTTTTGAGGCATAATTGAGGTTGCTGTGTTTTCACTGTTAGCATATTGATCGAAGCCCCCATTTGGGTGATATGATTCACCTTAGTCCGTAGTACCATCGATGATAGATAAAATTAATTGGTCTTTCATGACTATTATGTGGGTCACCCAGTTACTATTATTATATCCATGTCATGTTTGATTCATGTTGTTACTTATAAAATACATATTAACCTTCCACAAGGGATATGATGCACTTTTGTATTTGTTAAATTTGGTGGAACGTCCCTCAAAGATATTTTTTCAGATGACCCTTTTTTAGTCAGATCGTAATATAAACAGTTTTGTAATTATATTTGTGTATCATTTACTTACTTATTCCTGTGGTGTGATAATGATTGGTAACGGGTTGAAAATACTTGTGATGAGTAAAATCATCACCCTGTCCTTAGGTTCCATTTTCTTCCCCGTGCCCTTGTTTTTGTATTTCTTTCTTGACTATTTTGGGCTGTCATATTTTGTGTTACCCTTATTTCAAGCTCCACACCTAAATGCCTGTCTTTTTCTAGATGTATGATGATGTATGTGAAGTTTGGTCATTAACTTTGGTGAAACATTTCTTTCACCCCTGAAAAGTAGGGTCTTTGGCAGTCATGTTCCATATAAATTGTCAACTCCTGCCTTTCCTCTCTAATCATTAATCTGGATATGTACTTTTGGATTTTATCCTTGAGCAGAAATGACCTTTCTCAGCTCTGTTTGAAATGAATACATGTGCAGTTACAGGTGTTGAAGCTACTGTGCAGCACCTCATATTCTCAATATTCTCTCTGTGATTGTTTTATTAAATGAATTTTCTCAGAAATTTGAATTGTGAAACCATTGCTATTTTAGTAGTTTCATAAGTGCTATGGTAGTGCTGTTTTGGCTTTGTCTCTCTTTTTCTTTTACTTTCATCAGAACAGTGGGAAAGACTGTATTTGCTTTGAGTGAACCCTTAAAACTCAACATAGGTAACGATTGTCTTTTTTATCAAACTTCCTGTGTATTTGTTTACTGACATCTATTTACTGGCAAAATTCTATTGACTGTCACGCATTCAACTTTTTTAAGAAACATATTGATTGTAGGTGTTACAGATATTCATCAGGAATTTTATCACAATTTTTTTTGTTTGGCAAATTAATTTTTGTTGTGTGAGGTGTGATAATTTTTTCATTCTGTTGAAGAGTGTGTTGAATATACATTCAAAAGGTTAAATGACACGTATCCCCTGAGAATTGTCTGGAGTTACTCATAAATAATACCACTGCAGGAGCCTTTGAGGCTAGGCACCAAGTGAACTGCCGAATGTAAGTGATTCTCTATTCACATTGCTTGTATTGAAAATGCATTCAGTTTTTACAGACTTGGAGCTAAAGGTTGTATAGTGTGTCTACAACTAAGACGTTTTTAAAAAAATGTACTCTAAATCAAAATACTGTAGAACCTTTTTATTACATTCAATAATACTCCTCTCTTATAAAGGAACTTGAATATTTTATATCTGCAATGATAAAGCTTCTGATATTTCTTAATGCTGATCATGAACGGCTTGATTTGGACCAATTGTACATACGCGGTATTGCAAAGGTATCAATGTAATGATTATCAATTTATCTCTGCTGTTTATTTTTCATGCTTTTCAACTGCTGTTTTTTTCTTCACTCTTGTCACATTTTCTTGTAGTCCATTAGTTTTGTTGTCAATGAAACTGATCCTGTCTTGATGTCATTCACTCTGTCGATTGTTTAGAAGAGCTGCATTTATCTATTACTGCTTGAAGCCCTTTGCATTCTCACTACCTTCAAAGACCTGTTTTGAAATTAATTGTAAAATTATTGAACAGTGTTTCTTCTTTTTGAGCTTTGTTTCCACTGTACATTACATTCTAGAATTTATACAGATGTTTTAAAGCCAAAGCTGGAGGTTTCTTTTGTGTAGGTAGAGAATCATGCCACCCCTCCCAATATGGTCTCCTCTGTTAAATTTTCTTTGAGGTGGTGTGATTGTGTCAGCCAGGATTCCACCTCTAGTCGTTTCTTTGATTTTTGCTCAATTTTCATCCTTTACCTACCTCTTGTTTCCTAGGAGAGTCAAATCTTTTGCAACTGCTGCAATCCTACCAGCAATCTCGCAATGATCAGGTACATATTGAGTGATGATGATTGTCTGCCCGTGGGGCACTAACACGGTTTCATTTTGCACAATGATTAGGACCTTTGTGTGAAAATTGAACACTTAAAACCGTACTGTTAAATGCAGAAGAGGACTATAGCACTACTTAGTGCCAACGAATTTTTCAAGTTTTTTTTTAAATATATTTTTCAAGGTCTTCCAAGTTTCCTAATTCTGATGCATTCTTAGACATCCTATGGAATGAACTGCTCTTGCAACTTAAGTTGATTGAACAAATTCATCTGTCTTATTCAATCTTATTGTTGATGCAAGTGATTTTAATGTTTGTTATTTTTCAATGTATGATGGGAGAGTTGATTGTGCTGAACTTTCATCTCAGTAGTTGTGTGTAATTTTGGTGTACACTAACGAATGCAACATAGACTTAGATTTTAATACTTTATTTGTACAGAAATTAGGCTCAAAGAGTGTAAAAAAAAGGAGGATGTAGCTTGAGGTTTTGAAGAAGGTGTACTGGAGCGCGGCAGCAGACTGTGTTATTGTGTTGTTTATTGAATGTTTGCTGATGGCTTGCATGGCGGTATTTATTGATACTTTGATTGTCAATAAAGAGCTGCATTTGAAAGGGGCAGAGTTGTTACTGAAGTCCCTCCTTCCCCTCCTGTGCGGTGCTGGCGGCCAGGGCGGCCTCCCTGTCCTCCCGGTCATGCTCCTCCTCCTCCCGGATGGAGTCGCGCCGGGACTCGAGGCCCAGCGCGCTCACGGACAAGTTCCTCTGGTTCTTGCGGAGCGCCTGGGGGGTGAGCACCTGCAGCACAACAAACAGTCACCAGTCGTAAGGGGCCAGTCACACGCATCGCTCCGGGTCGGACTAGGGTCGGAGGCTGACCTTGGTGGAGGGGGCGTTGGGCAGCTGCGGGTTGGAGGAGCGCAGGGTGGCCTGCACGGCCTGCAGGTGGTTGATCTCGATGGCGGACTTGCGAAGGTCGATCCTGGACACGCTGCCGCGGCCCGGCCGGTAGTCCAGCGCGGAGCCCCGCCGGCTGGAATGGAAGGGAGAAGGTGCGACTCATTAGCCATGCCGACCCAGTGTAGACAGTGTAGGCGTCGTGGTGCGTACTCCATGGACGGCCGCGACCCCCGCAGGTCCGTCCTCGACGCCGAGGTGCCGCCCGCGGCGCTGCGCAGCCCGTCCAAGGACGTGAGCGAGCCGCGCATGTTGAACTGGATCATGAGGCTGAGCCGCTCGATGGACATCTTGGTGTTGTTCTCCTCCTCCTCGTCGGCCTCCGCGTCGTCGTCGCCAGCGCCGCCGTTGAGGCGGTCCACCTCGCCGTCCTCTGCAATCCAAGGGGTTTCAGAATCGGGTGTGAGTGCCACAAGGGCCACAAGTGACGCGGCTTGGCCTCCACGCCTCCACTCACCGACGTCCTTCTCCACCTTGTCGTACTTCTTGAGCCACAGCAGGTGCAGCAGCCCGTAGAGGGTGCCGCCCGCGCACGCCAGCAGCCCCATGATCCTGAAGGCCTTCCTCGTGCCGTACGACCCGATGAGCAGCCCGCCCAGGAAGGACCCGAAGCCCCGACCTGGGAAGCGGCAAAGCCAGCGTGAGAAAGGCACGACGCGAAGGCTGTTTTCCCCTCAAAGACCACCGCGTTGAACCTAGGCTGAAGTGCGCCATGCCGAGCACGCCGATGAGGGTGGCGAGGAGCGTCTTGGGCGCCAGGATGCTGCAGTAGGTGGCGGCCGCCACCCACATGAGGTGCACCGCCAGGGACTCGATGGCCTCGAACGGGAAGCACCACCACGCCGTCCTGGGAAAAGAACAGGCCTCCGCCCCGGGGCACCGTGAGTCGGAGTCGCAGGTCGCAGGTTCGAGTCCCGCCTTCTGGCGTTCTACTCACTCGATGAACGAGTAGCCCATGAGCCTGGCCGCGTGGGAGAAGAAGGCCAGGACGATGACGTTGACGTGGCCGAACCTGCTGGTGATCTCCTCGGCGCCGTACAGGAACGGGATGCTGCTGAGCGTGCCCACCGTGACCGTGATGCCGAGCACGTAGTTGGGCGCGCCCAGCTCCTTGAGGTACAGGAACAGGAAGCTCTCGATGAAGCCCCAGAAGTTGCCCAGCGCGAAGAGGAACAGGATGAAGCACATGACGTGCGGCATGCGCAGCAGGCGCAGCAGGTCCTTCATGATGTTCTCGGCGGGCACGTTGCCGCCGATGGGCATGAGGGCGAGCGTGACGCACGACACCAGCAGCAGCACGTCGTACGTGTAGAAGGCGGACGAGTAGTCCGTGACGCCGCCCGCGCTGCTCTGGTCGATGAGCAGGCCGCACAGCGGCGAGAAGATGGCCATGCCCACGGACGAGAAGAGGCGCTCGCGCCCGAACTGGCCGCCGTACTGCTGGATCATGGTGAGCGCGATGGGGTCCAGCATCGTGACCCCCGCCGACAGCATGATGGTGGCCACGAACCGCAGCAGGAAGTAGATCCAGAAGATGCGGTCGTCGCTCTCCTGGAAGTCGGGCGGGCACATGTCCGGGCCGCCCTCCCTGCAGCAGGTGAACGTCCAACGTCCAACGTACTCACCGTGGTGGCCGATGGGCACCGACGGGGTGCGCTTTCCGTTCGCTCACCGGAAGAAGCACTTCTGCAGCATGCAGTCCGCGGCCAGCTCGGTGAGCGTCTTGTAGGTGAGGTTGGTGGCGAGCACGGCGCCGCCGCAGCGCAGGTCCTCCTTGAGCAGCGCGGTGTAGTTGACGCCGGCGTCCTCCATCAGCCGCTGGCTGAAGTGCGCCGTGAAGTCGTTGACCGTCTCGTTCTCGTCGGGCTGCATCTCCATCCCTGGCCACACGCAAGACCGTAAAAAATGTTCCGGTACCGGGAATCGAACCCGAGCCTCCTGGGTGAGAGCCAGGTATCCTAGCCACTAGACCATACCGGATGGGTGGGAAGAGGAGCAACGCCACCCATCTACAATGCCCCTGCTTTGGCCCCTCCCCGAGCCGCCAGCTCGACTCGGCGGGGTGGGGTGGGGGTGAGCTAAAGTGGGCCGTCTGTTGCTTCGCCTGCCTCGCCAGGCGGCGCCGAAAATCGAGTAATCGAACCGCAATTGCTAGCTAATCGGCAATGTGAGCGATGGTGGCGCCGCGTGAAAAGTGCGACAAGTGCGAGGCGTACCCCCGGGCGTACCTAGCTGCTCTATCGGGTCCATGAGGTCGGGGTGCATCTCGATAATGACGTACACGGGCTCGCTGGGCTCGTCGGGCGTGTCCGTGACCGGGCTTTTGGGGGTCGACGTCGTCGACGTGGTGGCGGCGGTCAGCACCACGCTGAAACCAAGCGGCTCAATTTGAGACAACCTCCTCGCGTTGGCGAAACCATCTGCGACAGCTCTGCACTCACCCGGTGGCGTTCGTGCCCTTCTTGGTCTTCTTGGGCTTGGACGTGAAGTTGAGGCCGTCGTTGGGCCCGCCGGGGCCCTTGATGCCCAGCACCACCTTGCTGGCGTCCTCCTTGGTCGCCTTCTCCTGGCGACAGCGACACCCAATCGCTCTGTCTCTCTCGCACTCGTGGGGCGTGCCGTGCAGGTGCGAGAGAGACAGAGCGACAAAACGCTGAGCGGAATCAGTCCGCAGAGCGCTGAAGAGCGCCTGCCGCGTAGGCAACACACCGGAAAGCGCGCACGCCTGCGCGGCGCGTTGCCTACTCCGCAGGCGGCAAGCCGCGACGAGACGAACCTCGGGCAGCAGGGTGGGCGGGCGCACGGCGATGCCCTGGTGGATCTCCTGCAGGAACGTCTTCTTCTTGGGCGGCTCCTGCGGGCCCTCCAGCAGCAGGCAGTGGTCCAGGCAGTCGTCCAGCACCAGGTCCAGCTCCTCGTCGTCGGGGCACTCGCGGCTGGGGCACGGCGACCACCACACGTCCACCTTGCCCGTGACGGGGTGCCGCATCACGTAGGCGGGCGGCATCACGCCGGGGGTCTCCATGGCGGGGATGAGGAGCAGCGAGTGGTGGAAGGCGGCGTTCAGCACCAGCGTCAGGATCACCACCGGCTTGTAGTTGCCCATCTTGTCCACCAGGAAGCCTGCATGCATGGCCAGAGCACCCGTCGCGATAAAAACCCTTGCAGGGCCGCGGGGTTTCGACCGAGGCTTCGACGCACCTGTGACTGGCGGGCTGAGGAAGGTGGTGAGGGGCAGCGCGAGGTACACGATGGCGATCTCCTCCACCGTCAGCCCGATGCTCTGCATGTGGATGGTGAGGTAGGGCAGCAGGGACGCGGTGGCTGCAGCAGCACCAATACACTCACAGTGTTCACAGCTCTCGACGGCCTGGGCCACGGCCTCGACCAGGTGCGCAGGGACTTACCACCGTACATCATGAACAGGGTGACCTTGAGCATCACCAGGTTGGGGTTGACGTTGAGCTTGTCGCACAGCTTCTCGAAGGCCGTGGGCGCCTTGTCGCGCTCCTGCGAGTCGTCCTTGTCCTTGTCGTCGTCCTTGTCGTCGTCCTTTTCGCTCTTCTCCTTGTCCTTCTCCCTCACCTCCCTGTTCTTGCCGGACTTCTCCCTCTTGTTCGTCGCGCTGTCCGCGGCCTCTTCCTCGCCCACGCTGGAGGGTGCCATCTTGCGCTCACTTCCTGGAATAGTTTGGCCCCCTGGATAGCTGGATTTTCTTCCTCCTCCTCCTTCTTCTTTCCTAGACGTACCTGTTCGGCGTGATCATGCGTGCCGTGGTACAGGGCGACTGCGGAGGGTCTCGCCTACTACACCAGCCTAGGAGATATCCGGGGGGAGGGGGAGGGGGCGCGATAAAGTTGTCTTTAGCGGTAAATGCGATGTGCGCCGTCGCGGCTGCGTCTGAGGTCCTGGGCCTTCCCTCTGTCTCTCTCTCTCTCTCGCACGCATGGTGGCACCTGAAGGTGCGAGAGAGACACACGGCGCCGTTTCGATCGCGCCCGCTGTGTTTGCTCAAGCCCGGCGTGAGTGACTTCTCGTAAAGGGTTGTAGTGCGCCTGGAGGGGGGGGGGGCTTGCCAGTCACTTCCTTTTTCTGTCATATTGGCCTGTGCTGCTCAGGGTGCTCTCGGGCGCACTGCACCCCCACTAGTGACCAGTGGAGTGGGAAACCTGGCACGGACTGGTACACTTATTGCAAATCACCGATTGGTGCCGGCCGTTGGTGGTCTCAAGTCCCCTGCATGGTTGGCGATACGCTTACAGTGCACTGTTTACAGTGTGTATTGATAAGAGTGGGGGAAGAGGGGGGGGGCAGAGGGGCGCCGCTGCTGTCTGCCATAAAGCTTGCACAAGCTGAACAAGTTGACTTTGCTAATCTCGATACTCGTTACACGCTTCTGCCGGCAGCCCCCCAAAGGCATCCCCCCCCCTTTAAGCTGGGTTTCAAATAAAATTGCTGATAATTTTCTGGAAATAATTTTTATAATATGATTTTATTTATCACAAAATAAATGTAGTCCACAAAAAATTGATACAATTTTGGTGGAACACACAATGTTTACACAATCTCTAGTCAAAAAGAACTTTTTTCCAGCAAGATGTAATTGACAAGGCGTACAGAACACACATAATAATAGACACAAAAATACATGTTTGAGAAATGTTGTTGAGGTGATAACAATTTTCAAACAAAGGCTCAGAATACTGATTGGTAGGAACACTGTCCCCAAAAAACTTCACTCAATAAAAGATCACACATGCTGCAGTTCTAATATCACACATCTCACAAGAGGGGAACAACTTAGGTGCAAGTGACATGATTGTAAAATTATTTATAATTGTCAGATCACTTCTATCTATAAATTGACTAGGTTTTAGTGCGCAAAAGCAAGGTAAGACAAATTTTCAGATAATCAATGTCATGAGGAGGGTAGTTGATTCATGCCAATTTCACACTGCCGGCATGTATTGGAAAATCCTACCTATGAAGTTTACTTAACTACAATAACAAATAAATAATGCAGATGGTTCCAACTCCATTTCACATGTTTCTTTGGCATTAATACCCATAAACCTCTCCACCTTTCCGGAAATCAGCATTAGCCGTAATGGTTTTATTAAACTTGCTAATGGCACAAACCACAGAGCCCGCACCGCGATATCTTGCAGTTTTGTGACCCAATTGCTCCAACCCCTTGACAACTTGCTGCAAGAGATAATTGTGACACATTAGTACCACAATCTACAAAGGTAATAATAAAATGCCATATGTAATGTAACACAGCACAAAAAATTACTTACATCCAATATTCCAAACTCATATGCCACTTCCATGGGAAACAGTTGGTGATGGATTCGAGACGCATCTATGGCTTCTTTGATTGTTTCTCCCAGCCATAAATGGCGAACCACGACCTTAATAAAAATAGAAAAGAAGAAACAATTGAAAGCAAAAATTTTGAATTTCAGTAATTTTTTAAACAATGAGTAAAAAACCTACGTTGACCACTGAAGTAGGAATTTTTGTCCCACCAGATGCTCCCACGACCAGACGAACATCTCCATTCCTATCAACCAAAATTGAGGGAGACATGGAAGACAACGGCCGTTTCTGTGGGGCAATAGCATTGGCTGGAGAGCCAGGGAGATCAAAGTAATTGGGGAAATCTGGCCAAGAAAAGTCGTCCATTCCTGAGCTTAATGTTATTCCAGTGTCAGGTGATGTCACTCCAGCTCCAAAACTGCAGATGAGAAAGAAATTTTAAAAAATTCATTAACTTTCTAATTTTAGACATTAAAAAAGAGATAATTGGTGATAAATACATACTAGATATCAAGTGTGCTAGTAACTGAAACAGCATCACCCTCTTCAGAAAGAACAGAAATATGGGCTGTTCCTGCATCAGGGGGGTTGAAGAAAACACCTCCATACTTTTCAGGTTGATTGCTTGTTTCATTGTCCTTGGTGTTTCTTCGAATTTCATCAGCATACCTCCTGCTTGTTAGCAATTCTATATCCTGGTAAAAAGATTTTAAAAAAATTTTACATAGAAGAAAATTTAAAATTTAAACTACTCTTAAATTCAAAGATTGAAACTGCAAACAGTACCCTTCGGACGTCAACAAAATCGGAGTCGCCAAGTTTTGTACGGAATCCAAATGCATTTTTGAATGCTTCTGTCATACGATGGAATGTCGTGACAGTTGACGGAACATCAGCAACACTATTACTGTTGAAGCCATAACCATCTAATATGCTTAGAATAAAAGCAACAAGAGCACCACTTCCAGGTGGTGGTACACTATGAAACTGGATACCCCCTTGCAACTCAACAGACACTGGATCCCTCCACCTTGGCCTGTAAAACAAGACACATGAATTAAATTTGAGAAAAATATAGTATAATTGTTATCTTATCACACTCTCTCACTTACTGATAAATTTCCAAGTCTTTTTTGGTGATAATGCTTCCAATATCTTTCAAATCCCTTGCAAAGATGTTGGACAATGAGCCATTGTATAGAGAATCTCCACCTTCCCTTGCTATTATTTCTAGAGTGTCACAGAGTTTATCTAACTTTACAAGAGTACCTGCCCGTCGAAAATCCCCCGTGTTTGGATCAACGAAAATATCCCTGCAATAGAGATGCAAACAGTCAGAAAAAAATTTGAACGTATTAATTGAAAGGTAATGGTTTCAGTTTCTTACCTGAGAGTGGGGTCCCGTTTTATTAATTCATTCCTCGAAAGGGCATAGTATTGGTGCATTGTCATAGAGTACCCATTGCGACAAATTTTAATGCTTGGTGCAATGAGATCTGCCCACTTCAATCTCCCATATTTCTGGTGAGCTGCCCAGTACCCACGAAGTTCTCCAGGAACACATGCCGCTTTAGGACCTGCCATGCAGAGTTCAATGCAACAAAATTTAGATACGAAATAAATTTTTAAGTCTTAAGAAGCCCTAATGTCTTAAGGAAAAAATATTTTCATTTTGAAATAGACAGAGGTGCATCTCTTACCAACTTGGGCTTCTTTTTGATTCTTGAACATTCCTGGTTTTGATGCCAAAGGAGCAGCCTCTCTTGCATCCAAAACTTGCGCTTTCTTATCTTTGGCGGAATAAATGACCATTTGGAAACCACCACCTAATCCCATACTCTGGCCATTCACAATGCCATTGCAGAAGAGGGCAGCTATTGTAGCATCAACTGCACTTCCATTCCTCTCCAAAATGTCTCTGAAAGATAAGAAATACAAAGAGAATTATTTTTTTGCATTGACGTACTTAATTTTTGGTATTCAAAGACTTCCAATTCAAAGACTTTTCCACTCTTCAGGTGTTAAGTGCATAACGTTTTGTACCTGTTCTGGTTTTGTCTCGTCTTAGTCTGTGGATTTTGTGTAACATTGTGTTCAGATGGTCAAATTGGTTGATTTTATTGACCTCATGGCATGCATGTTAAATATTTTGAAAATTTCTGTGTGGAACTTCCTAGGTAGCACGGTCATCGAATCTTTTTGCTTCTGGCTGGGCGTCAAACATATGGCGATTAGATTCACCAAAAACGTCAACAGTACGCAAGGGATACAGGAAAATGAAGATACAGGTTGCAATAATTAATTTTAATTTAACTTTAAATTCAGATGAACACAATGGACATCACAAATAGATTTTCAATAAACAAGAATTACCATTAAACACAATTAAAAAGTAAAACACAGGAAACAAAAGCAGCACTTGCATAAAATAACAAATTCGCTTGTTTCTCCGGCAACTTTATAAATGCTGCACAGTACACAAACACACTGAAAACATTCTAGACAAAGACATCATGTTACCAGGTGCGTTAAAACGTGACTAAGTGGAAGGCAACATAAAGACAAAGTAAAGCTGAGATCCACTATTCAGCTGCACTGGGACAGCCTTAGCATGATATTAAGTAGGAATCGAAGAAAAGTCTATCCATCAGCGTGCACTGTAAGCGTGCTGCAGCCTCAAGCGCGGTGTCGTGGCACTTCCGCATGACACCAATCAATTTTTCCACACCGAGCAATCACAGTGACAACGGCCTGCCCTGCCTTATCTCCATTCAACTCCTTGCCGCTCCGAGTCCGCCAGGGACAGGGTGACAGGGCCACCGCGGCGGCGGGGAGGCGGGGGGCGGGGGGGCCAGGGCAGGCAGCCCAGCGCCCAGCCCGTCGAGTCCAATACCACCACTAGCTCTTCTTGGCCGCGGCGGCGGCAGCGGCCACGTTGGCCTGCTTGGCGTTGGCCTCGGTGTTCTGCAGCTTGGTGGCGATCTTGCGCGAGTGTCCGCTGGGGTCGAAGTGGTTGGTGTGCTCACTCGCCTCCTTCTTGGTCCGTCCCTTGCCCGAGTGGCCGGAGTTGACCAGCTTGTCCTGGTCGAAGTTGTAGTGCTCGTACTCGTCGAAGTGGGTCTCGGACATGTTGACGGGGTGCTCGTCGACAACGGGCGGCGCTGGGTGCGGAGGAATACGGTGACAAAGAGGGTCTCGGTGGTCGGCGGGTGCTCTGCACACCTCTGGTTCGGCTCTGGTTGTGGTTGCGGTCGCACAGCTGTTCGCTTTGACGGCTGGTTGCCAACTGAGGCTGCTCCTCCCACCACTCGCCTTTGTTGTTTTCAGCCGCTGGCTGCCGCTGGCGCTGCGCTGGCCGTGGTGCGCGTGCGCGGCCCTCATGGCGTTCGATGCCGGCCGCCCATTGGCCGCCTCGCCGCGGTGCGGCGTTGTCGCTTTTCGCGCCGCGGCGGCGAAGGCGAAGCAAACGCAAGCAAAGCAAGCCAGCTCACCGACGACGACGGCATTATCGCGCTTTTGAACAAAGTTGAAGTCGACGGCGGGGACAGCTTTTCGGACGACGCAGTGTTCCAAGCCATTGTCCGCGGTGTGTGCTGTGAGCTTTTCCCAGTGCGGCGCGAGTCCGGAGTCGTGGGCCGCGAGGGCACGCACTTGCCACTGGAGGGAAGTACCAAGCACCGCAGTGCAGACGACGCGGATGGCCTGCAGCGGTTGCCTTGCTCGGGATTGGCCAGCGCTTGGAGCTTGGCGCAGCTTGGCGCGCGGTTCGAGTCGTTCCCGGAGCACGACAAGCAGTGTGGTCGCCGTGCTCGTCTTGGCTGGGGAATGACCACGGCGGATCCAGCGCTGCGCCGTGCTGCGCCGCGCGACTACGCGCGACCGGTCCTTGGCACGTCGCTCGTCGTCGCACGTCCCGTGCAGCAAGGCCACCCTCGACGCCTTCCCCAGCGCGCTTCCTCCGGATCCGTTCCAATCCAGGGCCGCGTTCGAAAACACCGCCGTCGCCGCCACTAGTGCGCAGTTAGTCGTGGCAGACTTGGCCGTTTCCGAACGCACCCACTAGCTTGGCCGTTGAAGTGCGAAGTGGGCGGGGCCCGCGGGGCCGAGGCGGAAGGCGGCGTCGTCGGCGTGTTTTGACGGTGTTGTTCTAGTGCCCTGCGACTGACTCCGCGGTGCGCCGGCGGGGCGGGGCTATTTCGGTGTGTCGAAGTGCCGAGGGCTTTGGCCGCTTCGGCCCCGCCGCCCGCCTGCGCCCTGCCCGCCCTGCCCGCCGAGCATCCATTCGTGTCTTTCGAGAAGCCAAGCGGCGCGACGCACTCGCTCCTTCCTCCAGTGTTCCAGCAGACTGCCTCCGAGAGTCCTTTTCGTCTCTCTCGCACTCATGGGGCGTCCCGTGTGGGTGCGAGAGAGACGGAGCGACGAAAACGACTCTCAGTCCGCAGGGCGAATAGACAAAAGAAAACAAGAGTGGAGCGATAAAGAGGCGCGGCTAAACCGGTCCGGTTCGGCGGTGTTCGGCGGCGAGGGGGTGGGGGCGGTAGCGACTTCCAGCGCGTCGGCCTCATCTGGCTACGCACCACAACGAGGGCGCCGTCGCCGCCAAGCCGCGAACAACAACACACTCATCCGGGCGGCGCGAGAAAACTCGAGAAGCCGCGGGGTGACTTTTCGGCTTCGGCGCACTTGACCGACAATGTTGTTGACAATGTTGGCTGGCCTGACGGTGGGGCGACGAGCGGCGCGGCGTATGGTTATCAGCTACCGCCTAAGGCCCTGGGCCGCGCCGCGCCGCCTCGTCGCCTCGTCGAGCACCTCGCGACCTCCCCCTCCCCTCCCCTCCCGCGCCGAAAGAACGAGGACGCGGTCGTCGCGGTCGCCGCCACGGCGCAGCCACCACCTGCAGGGCGGCGGTGGCATCTTCGTCGCTCTGTCTCTCTCGCACTCACGGGGCGGCCCATACCTAGGGGCGCAGCGAGAGAGACAGACAAAGCGACGAACCGCTCTGGAGCTGGGCAGTCTGCCTCTATCGCCGCACGCGCTGCGACCGCCTGGCCGTTCGCCGCCTGCTCCGCGTTGTCGTCGTGTTGGAAAGCGAGCCGCGGTGGTGGCCTAGGTGGGCCTAGGTGGGGTGGGCGCGTGTCGGATTGTCGGCCTCGCGACGATACCCGGTGATAAGGCGGGGACGCCACACCGTCCGCCACCTGCACTGTTCCACGAAACAGACCGCCTCACTCTGCACTCAGATTCAAACAAAGCCTTTTCAGACGGCGACCCGTCCCCCCAGGGAAGTCCCACCGGCGGCAACCTCAAGACTCGTGACTCGTGGCACGTGTCGTCTGTTTGTGTTTGTGTGCGCGTGTGTTTTCGTTTCAGAATGTTGCCATTTTTTTCGTCAGTCTGGTTTTGAGGCCGTCGCCGTCAGTGATTGTCAAGGGGATATGAGTCAGCCGAGTCATCAAGTCCGGGGCGTCAACACTCGCCGGCCATTATCGGTTTCACAAGAGTTTGAAACGGTCAAATAACTGCAACCACTTTCCTGGCAGCCGCCTGCTACCGCCTGTGAAACCCAGGGTAGGCAACCGCGACGCCGGAGCGCGGCGGGCTGCCTACCCCGCGCCTGGCAGCCCAGCGCGTGGAGTATCTCCGCACCAGGGAGCGCCAGCTCAGTAATTCCAACACGGATGTCGTAGTCTCGTCAACAGTGAGCGTTAGGAACGTTATGCGTACCTCAACTGAATTTTTCAATTCAATTTATAAGTTTAGAAAACCGTTGAGACTCAGATACCACGAGTTAAAATTTTAACCAAGTCGGTGCGCTCTGGCGCCGCCGGCCGATTCCGATCGGTGCTATCGTCGCTACGTGTCTCTCTCGCACCAGGGGGGCGTCCGGTGTGCGTTGTCGGCGCGAGAGAGACAGACACTCACCTGCCGACGAGGGAGCAGGGCGCGCCGTCCGCGCACACGGCCCCGCGCTTGAAGACGTGGCCGACGGACGCCGACGGCAGCTGCGGCACTTCCGGGTTGGGCGGCACGAGCTGCACCGGGCCGGACGACGGGTAGGCCACCTGCGTCACGTAGCGCACCGTGAAGCCCACCAGCACGCCCAGGCCCACCACGGCCAGCAGCAGCACCAGCACCACGTAGCGCCGCTTGAAGTCGCCCCTGCAGCAGAGCAGGCATGGTTTAGCGTTACAGTTCAGTGCGCCAGAAGACCGGGGGAAGACCCCGAACGCGTTTTGAGCTCCAGCGTCGCTAAACGGGACTCGAAACGAACGTTTGACCCCACCAATGGATTGCTCTCCGAACGAGGAATCCATTGGTGGGGTCACACGTTCGGTTCGAGTCCTGCTTAGCGACTCTGGACCTCAAAACGCGTTTAGGGTTTTGGGCCGCCGGCACTAGTCTTCTGGCCCACTGTGCAGTGTACTCGACATCACGAGCGTCTGTCTCGCACATGACCGCCATGCCATAACGTCACTGTCTCAAACGGCCGCTGTCCGTGCTTGAGCCTCTCCAGGCCAATTCCGCGCGCTGCTCGCCGGCAACGCTAGCGCTAACCAATTCAAATAATTGTTCGCGTTCGGCTGCCGACTCATTTCTCAAGGGTCGTTTCGTCGCTCTGTCTCTCTCGCTCCTCTGCGGGAAGGCCCCTGAGTGCGACGGAGACGGCGAAGGATCCTTCGTGTCGGCACGCAAACTTGAGCAATGAAGCGAAATGAGAGTCGGCGCTCGGCAACGAATGCAGGGCAGGGGTTGCACCGCTGTGTCCGTCTCCCTCGCACGCACGGGGCGTGCCGCGGCGTGAGAGAGACAGGCGACGACGCGGGTACCTGCGGAGAGCTGTTTGCCCAGATGGGCGTCCCCAGCTGTCCCAATCGACGCGTCTCGGGCGAACGGACGGAGGATACACTGCAAACACGGCCGCGGGGTCAAAGTTCGCTCCACATTATTTTAACCCAGTGACGGCGGCGGCGGCGGTGCACCACTTTGGTGACCCTGAGTCGGACCGGCGACGCTGTCTCTCTCGCACCCCTCGGGAACGCCCGCCGAGTGCGAGAGAGACACAACACCGCGACGCTCATGTGACGAAACCCATTAGTGGGCGTCCTGTCGTGTGCCGCGCACGGCGCACGGCGCAGGTTTAGTCAGCCGGACAGGCCGACAGGCCAAAACAACGCGACGCGGCGACTCGTCTTCGCCCGCCTCGGAGGGGGAGGGGAGGGGAGGTGCGACGGTGGCGAAAGTGCACACACGACGACCAGGGCGGCCAGGGCCGTCGGGGAGGGCGTCCCGTCCCGTCGTCGGCCACCTCGTGCACCTCGTGCACCTCGTGTTCGTACTCACGGTCTGCACGCCATGCTGCCGCGTGTCGCTGTCGCTATCGTTGTCGTCCAGCGCAGTGGCCGGCGGCCCCGCAGCCAAGTGCAAACTAGGCGGTGTAGGCTGTCGGACGGGCAGGCCGGGGGCAGGGCAGGCCGGCCAGCGTGGCGGCAGGGCGACCAAGGGAGACTGTCTCCGCCAAGGCCCGTCAGGGTGGCGGCTGCGCTGGCCGCTGGGCAAGGCGATGGGCCGGCTAGACGGCGGCCAGCTTGGGCCTGGGCGGCCTGGGGGGAGGGAAGGGGGTGGGGAGGGGGTAACTGTGGCTAGCTTGCTTCAACGTGCTTTCGCTTGGTGTCAATGTCTGTCGGGCCCGGCGCACGGCCGAATGGAATGGACCGTCCTGGATCGCAAATGCCGCCGACGCGAGGCGACGCGACGCGTTTTAGAGGCGCCACGTGGTGACAACTCGCGGCGCCAAGGGTGGGAACGCAGGAACGCAGTCGCGGCCGGGCCATGGGGACTTCCAACTTGCCCCGCGTGGCAGGGAAGGCCTCGGCCACTCAGACGGCCGAGGCGCGTATCACCCACGGCACGGCCGGCACGGCGCTCGGACTCGGAAGACGCAAGAGCAGCAGACTAGCAGACCGATTCTTAATAGCACTCGCCGTCTCTCTCTCACGCACGCGGCGGTCCGAGCGAGTGCGAGGGAGACGGCGGCGAAACGCTGTCGGCTGCACTGGGAAACGCGACGTCGCCGTTCCGCCTGCCGTCGTGCGCGTTTTGCACATTCAGAGGGCGATACAGTGGACACGCCTCGGCCGGGTGCAACGTAAAGCGGTGGCGGAAACTACAAAAAAAAAAAAATAACTTCGTCATCTTTCAACTCCCGCTGCGGGGATCATCAACTTCGCTATCACGCCATCACATTTTTACTGCGCCACGTTACGTCAGTGATCCGTCAGAACTGTGCAAAAGACTAAAAATTATACTGACTCGAAAGTTAAATAAAAATATTTTCTTTTATTCGGTGGCTATTGACAAGGTGGAAACGGTGGTCGAACGTCAAGGCGATCGGGTGGCGTCGCAGCCTGAGAGAGTGAGAGAGACAGAGAGAGAGGCGCTGCGCCGCGTATTCCCCGACTGGCATGGCAGTGCCGCGGCAGCCACCAGGTGGCCGTCAACCGCGGAGCCGCGGAGCCGAGCGCATTGGGGAAAACTACCGGCGAGGCGGAGGGGCGGTGTTGGGCGCGGGACGCGGGGCCACTCTAGTTGCGTACCTGTAGCGGCGCGAAGGCGGCTATTGAGTCGCGGCCGCCAGACTCACGCGGCACGCGCTGGCAACACCCACAACAGGGCGCTGCCGTCAAAAACCGACGCGAACGTCAACAACACAGTGGCGGCGCGGTGCCGGCCCTGGAGCTGGACACCCTGGACACGCACGCGTGTACTCACTCGGGGAGGGCGCGGCGCTGCGAGGAGGCCGTGCAGGCCGCGGACACGCACGCCGCCTTCTTCGCAGCGGGACGCCGGACGACGCCGTCCTCGCCGCCCACCGCGCGGTGCGGCATTCCCTTCACAGCATCGCGGCGACCGCGGCCTCGGCGTCGACGAGCAGGATCTCCAACGGGCACGGCCGGCACGGCGCTCAAGGTCTTCCCTGTCGCCAGGCGTCATCGCCATCCCGGGCGGCGCGGCGCTGCGCCCGCCGGGCAGGCAACCCAAGCGGCTCGGCCGCGCGCCAGGCTGCCAGCATGGCTGCCAGCACGGTCGGGGCGGCTGGGCGGCTCGAGGATGCACCTGCAGTTGCACTTGCACGACGCGGTGTCATAAAGCGCGCTGCTTCCGGTTGGCGGAGACCTCCCCGTCGTGGAACGGGGCCGGAAGCACTCCGAGCACCGCGTCAACGACCCGGCGACGCGGCACGTCCTCGCCGAACGACCCGGGCGGCGGCCCCCATGCGCAGCAAGCGCAGCAAGCGCAGCCAGTCAAACCCGCCGCGCCGAAATGGGGTTATGTTGCCCGTTGCGACGGCGGTCGACGGCGGCGTCCTCGCCGCCCCGACGGCGGTCGTCGCGGACCTCACGGCAGAGCGCGGCTCCGCGACGGTCGAGTAGAGCAGGCTGCTGTGGCTGTCCGGGAACCGGATGGAATACGCGAGCGAGCAGGCCGAGCGACGGGGCGCGCTGGCAGGACGCTGCCATGACGCGACGTAGGGCCCTACGGACTCCCAGTGTGCTTCCGCCTCCGCCTTGCTCCACCTCCCCCGGGCCACGCGCCACGCGCCACGCGGCTCGCCGGTCGATGCGGAGCGGAGACCGCGACACCCCGCCGTGTTTGGGGGCGGTGGTTGGAGCGGCAGCGGTGCGGACCTTCCCCGCCGTTGCGTCGCGTCCTCCTCCTCTACACTCCTGCGCCCCGGACGGGGAACGCCAGCGCGGATTCTTACTGAGCAGCTCCAATCTTAACTTTGACCCCGCGAAATCTCATCATACATCCCCCTAACTTCACGCAGTGGCCCCGCAACCGGAGATTCTTGCACACCCAGCAGCACGCGGACGTCAAGCAACAATATTTCTCTTTGCCGGTTTAGGGGCGGATACTGACGTCGTTTGTCGGGTTTGCAATACTACAGATCGTTGCAAATCGCACGCAGGGCACACCTTTACAACTTCCAAACTGCTACAAACTCGACTCACCAAGTGCTGTAGGGCAGTCCGACGAGGTGGTACCCGCGGTTCGACGCCGGCCTGGAGTCCGCCGCCGGCCCGGTGTCGAACACGCCGTTCTTGTGGGACATATCACCGACGAAAACTCAAACTGGCCGTGCCGACGTCAAAATTCGAACACACCGCGCAGCGCACTTTCACCGCACTGGCAACAGCTGGCGAGCCGCGCGGACAGTGCCGGACGGGACGGACGACAAGGAGAGCGCGCTGCTGCCCGCTGCTGCCCGCTGCTCGCACCGACAGGAACAGGGAACAGGAACGCCGCCTTCGGTGCCGTCCGCCGGTTCAATTCCCGGTCACATTTAGCGTTGCCACTCACGTACAGCGAGTGGGGCAGGGGCGGGCAGGGCGGGCAGGGCGGGCAGGGCGGGCAGGGCGGCGGGAAGGGACGGACGGACGGGCAGGACGAGCAGGAAGGGGGCGGGGCGGGGCGGGGCGGGGCGTCCGGCGGGGCGGAGAGGACGCGGTGGAAGCCCATGGTTTCGCATGTACGAGCTAATTCGCTACCATCGTGCCGTGCTGATTGGCAGGAAACCGGACTCGCGATTAGCCCTGCAGGCCCGTGAGTGCGAGAGAGACGAACCAGACACAGAGCGCGGAATGGTGCTGGTCACGCGGGTAAGGACACCGGCCGCTCTGATCGCCTGTCTCTGAACCTCCAGTGGCTTCTCAGCAATGTGACGTGACTCACTCACCGGCGACAACCAGTGCACTGATTTCTTCTGCCGCGTTGGGAAAGCAGCGCTGCGACAAGGACGTGCAGCGACACTGGCAGCGCCTACACTTGTTGCTGCCTGCAGGGCGCAGCGCCGAGCCCCTGCCAAGCGGCGGGTAGGCCACCCAGCGTGCACCGCTGCGAGCGTCTGGCCTAGCGCCGAACGGCAGGCGCTTTTGGTCTTCCCTGCCCCTACAGTGTGGCAGGAGTGGAAAAGTAGCTCCGTTCTTTCATTTTGTTTGTTTATTGTTGTATTTGTTGCGAATGGCTCTACTCTTTTCCATCTGAGTAATACCTGTTGGTGGCTTGGCCCACTCAAATTTTTAAAAAATTTATCAGGAAAGGAAAAAGAAGAATCAGAAAAAAGTTCACGTACTTCAAGGATTTATTTCAGATTTTTCAGTCGATACTTTTACATCAATTTATTTACACATTTCCCTACAATTTGCTATTTAAAAATAAATTAAGATACACTTTAAAACCACTTATTGAAATCATTCTACCAACACAATCTTTGAGATTGGCATCAACATCCGTCATCAACTTAGCGGAATAAGTTTTGACTAAGAATATGTTGTACGACACAGCTTTGCTATTAATCACATTCATAATTTTAAAATTCAATATACAAGAGTACGATTGAAATCAAAAGGCACATAAAGAAACATTGCATTAAAAATGAAAGCTAGTTCACAGTACATTCATACTCTTAAAATCATCGTTCTATTTTTTGAAAAAGACAATTGAAAAACAAAAAATGTACAACAAAAAATTTACTATCAATACTGATACACATAACTAAACAATGAGCCAATACAATGAGGAACTGTAAGGCACTGTGGTAGACAACCCAACATTTTCATATCTTCCTACATTAAATAAATACTCAACAATTCTTACAAAAGGTTTTCCCAACAACAATCATTCTACAAATACAACAACATTTTCGAGCAAAAGCTTGACTTTGTAACCTACCAACATTGCAAACATGAGCGGTGTACAGCTCCTTCAAACAAGATAAATCAGTATCACATTGAACTCACCAGACACCTACAGGAATCATACACTGAATTGTGGTCAAAGCTTAAAATATTGCCAAATAGACTAATGCTAACTGGGATAAGAGGAGTAGCCCAAGCAAAGAGCAGCTCACTCTATGGTGATGTAAAGAGAAATTAAATTTTTTATTACTTAACATAATATCACTTGGGTGCTGATACAACACTAGTAGTCAACAACAACTCATTACTGAGGCATACATCACACAGCCTAAAATGCACTCATGCTCACAGCAAGCCACCCTTCCTACCAAACCACAATGAGCTGAGGGTGCCAAGAGTGGAAGACGAGTGGGAGTCCATTCCCAGGTCAGAGGGAACGCTGCCTAGGTCTGGACGTCCTCGAGCACCTCTGGAAACTGGAGTCGAAGAACTAGAAGCTCCAGGGACAGACCCTAGGTCTGTTCGAACTGGCCTATTATTCATCTGCTGTAACCTATTTAGTCGAGAATCCAGCTGGCCTGATCCAGGTTTGGCAGGCATACCTAATATTGGAATATCACTGTCATCGTCGCCTCCTAACACAAATGATGGCTTGGGTTGACGGCCATTCACAGGACTCTTCATCCCAGTGAGCTGACCCATAGGACTACGTTGAGCTGGATTGAAATAGAGCGATCTTCCATCTGATGTATTTCCGCCCGGAGTCACTAAACTTTCCAAACCTATTCTTTCAAGTTTCTCGACAAGCCTTATACTTGACAGAGCCTGTAACCAAATAAAGCACTTCAATGAATAAAAGTAGGAGCAAAGGTGCCAAAATGGTATACTACACATTCTCTTAAATGACTTGCCTTGCGATCTGATCTAGAAAGACCCTTTTTGTGCCTGCGTGACTGAGAACGGTGCAGGCGCATGGTTGTGTTTCTGTCACTGGAAAATGTGCGACGCAGCAACTCTGCACCGCTGCTAAGAAGTGCTGTGAGAAAAAAAACAACACAAATCACATTAAAAAACAGTATAACTAGTTAAGAAGAAACATTTCCATACATATCCACAAATTTACCTGGAATTGGGAATGTGCTGTAAGGTGGGGGAGAGGGTGACCTTGAGGATGATGGAGAGCTATCCGCTGATCCCCTTGGGGAACCTAGCGGAGAGTTGCAAGGGGTGGCGGTGGGGGTGAAACTCTTCTCTGTGGCTGGAGTATTCAAAGCGCTCGGAGTGATTCCCTTGATTCCCCGTTCATTGAGCATCTTAGCTAGGCCAAGGCAGGTTGAGAATGTTGACGTTGAGTTACGGCGACTCATGCCTGATACTGGTGTTGGATTTGCTGTGGTGGCGCAGCTGTTGGTGGCCCTCGTGCTCATTTGACTTGGAGGCAAACTGGGTGTGACAGACGTCATGTCATCAGGGTGCATCACCGTGCTGTTGGTGTAGGTGTACACTGAGCTGGTCGACTGGAAGCTCTTGCCAGGACAAATGTACTCATCGTCCTCCTCAAGGTCAGACAAAGTGTAAGTATCCAAACCCAATTCTTCCAGCGGCTTGCCACCACGAATTTTGACACCAGGCCTCTCCTCTAGCAATCCACTCAATGTTGGTGTCGCAAGTTGGGACCAGTGATGCAGAGTCAGTGATCCCTCAATAGGTTTCACAATCTAAAATATAATGCATGACATTAATATAAATCCAAACCATATATTCCCATGATGGCTGAAACTTCCAAATTTAAAATAAAAAACATACCTGTAGCTTATCAGGCAATTTCCAGTTCATGGAGTTGCTGTTGCCACTGAAGGCTCCACTGCTTCCTGTAGACATAATGCTGTCTGGAGTGCGGCACCCATCGTCGTAGCTCAGCAAGCTTCCAGAACCCAGATGTGCTCTTCTCAGTGCAACTGCAGCAGGAGTGAGACGAGATACAGCTGCCTCAAGCTCAGAGAAAGTGGAAACTGGCTCACCAGCATCAACTCTGTAATAAGATAAAAAAAAAAATTAATTCAGGAAATTTTCAGCAGGAAAAGCACATTTTGGAAGCTATCAAGCTGATACATACGAAATGTTATCTTCACTGTCATTGGAAAATGCTTCACAATCAGACTGCCCTGCAGAGTCCAAGCTGGGGAATGACATGGTGGATCCATAGATGTGTGGGGCAGGGTGTGTCGGCAGGCTGGTGTTGGAAGTTGAGGATGGGGCCAATCCAGGGAGACTGGACATTCGTGGCCCAAGACTAGACGACGACATCGATAATGAGGATGTCAATGAAGCCTGCCCACCACCCAAAGAACCGACACGCTTGACTGGAGACACTCCCATACTGCTGCCAATGCTGCTGCCACTGCCCATTGAGCTTCGAGAGGCACACCGCACAGTTTCAAACACCTTTCTGTAGGAAGGACTGCAAACGCAAGAAGAGCAACGGTCAGTCAATTGCAGTAGGTTTATCTCCCTAAAAAGGCAATATCTTATTGAGTACTTACGCTCTGTCAGTAGAAATGCCCGAATCCAAACTGAGTTCAGAAAACAGGGAAGACTCCAACTCCGAAGCTATTGAGTCTGGGTTGTGCTGATTCATACCAGTGAGAGATGGGAACAACTGAGTAGCCCTTGCTACTGGCATGCTCATTTTGCGCTTCTTCTTGAGCTGTTCTTGAGTATCCAAAAGTAATGTTGACACTTCCGCATTTCGCGTCTTTAGTTCAGCCAGTTCTCCACTGAGTGAATCCTGGGTTTCTCTTGAGATACGAATAAGGTTCTTTAAATCTTCATTTTCAGCACCCAGCTGCAGGGCACAAAAATCATTAGTAAATCACCACAAACAAATTGTATTAAAATAGCTAGAAAATAATAAAACAGGTGCATACCGTAATGTGGCGACTCTCTATATCTCGTAATTTAGCTTCAAGAGTAAAAATGTGTTCACTTTGCTGTCGATTTTCATCTTTCTGCCTGTCCAGCTCCACTAGCAATGCTTCAACCTCTCGATTGGCTGTGGCTGTAATAATAAATATTTGGGAAAATTAGTCTAGCCTGCAACAAACACTTTGACAAATTTTATTCAACATATCATGAACTTACACAACTGGTGGGTGATGTCAAAAACAAGCTTAGCTTCTGCCTCCTCACATTCTGAAGTGTCTTTGGCAATTTGATTAAATTCTTCCCGTAAACGAACATTATCAGTTTCAAGCATTTGTATTCTCCGCTGCATAAACTCAGCACTGATTTGTCTGGGGACATTCTCACATGGAGTGCCCACCTCAGAGCTACTGTCCCCTTCATCATTGGTAAGAATCTGAAAAAGAAAATTTATTAATTGCATGAACTAAGGCAATGACTTGCGCAGGCATAGATAATTGTTGTCTTTGGCACTCACTTGAATAAGCTCAGTCTTTTTCATCAGCTCATGGCTGAGCTGTGTAAGTTTCTCATTTGTGGTGCGTAATTCTGCTTCCAAGGAAGCAACATTATTTTCTAGCCTCTGATTATTCGCCAAGAGCTCTTTCCCAATGCGCGCGGTGAGCTCAAGGTCTTTCTCTTTCTGTAATCAGTAAAATCAGCATGAATGCAACATTTCCACAGACTCCGGTCACAAAATTCAACCAGGGAAGGTCAAGGGCCTCTGGTTCCCAAACGTACCTCTTCCAGAAGCCTCGTAACAGCTTCGATGTCATCGTAAGTTTTGGTCATTTGGCTCACGCGGTTGCTGCATAGGACTGTAACAGACAGAAACAAGATCCAGTTATTGCCTTTTGTCGCCAGGAATGAGTATTGCATCGCCGGCAGCAGCCGCACCACCATTCTATTGTGCCGGCGTGGCGCAGTAGCGGCTACCCGTGACGCGTGGCCAAGGGCACGTAGAGCGTAAACCCGGACGGGGTTTGACGGGGTTTAGGGCGGCCAGACGAAAAGCAGACGGACGGGGCAACGACCGGGCCGGCGTGGCGTGGCAATAATGCTGCCGGGGGCGGGCCAGGCCGGAGTTCGGCATCATTGTCGGCTTGCCGGCCCAGCTGTTCCATTCCAACCCCGAATGTGCCCTGGCCTGGACACCCCCGGCTTGAACCAGGGGTCACTCCAAACCCCGCAGGCCTCCAGCCACTAACCTTGAAACAGCTGAAGGCGAGTACGCACGCCGAGTACGGCCGTCCCGTCCAGGCTGCACGCTGCGGATACTGCAAGCGGGCCCCACCCCACCCCACCCCTACATCACTCACTCTCTCACTCTCCGCGTGCTATCGACCCGACTGCCTCCCCTTCCCGTTTCCATCCCCCCTGGCGCCAAGCAGCCACGCGGCGCATCCCGACCAGCAGGGCCAGCAGGGCCAGCAGGCGGATGCCAAGAGGGAGGCCTTTCCCTCTCTCTCGCACTCATTGCGTGAGGCGTAAGGGTGCGACAGAGACGGGCCGACGGGGGCTCCGGTTCGGAGTCCAGCCGCAGCGTCCCAGCCAGCCGACCCACCCCCTGGCGCTGCCCCGCCTCGGGCCCCGCCTCGGGCCCCGCGCCCAGTGACGTCACCACTTGCGTGCACTCGCACTCGTACTGTTGCTGCCGTGCGCGGCACAGACGTGCGGCCTGGCGACACGGTGCGAGGGAGACGGCAGAGTTAACAGTGGATGCGGCAGTCGGTGCGCTGGCAGGGTGCATCCCCTCGTCAAGGCCGGGTGGAGACAAAGACGAAACCAGCCGCCCCGCGCCGTCACTGTACACTGCCGCGCCTTTCCATCCACCCCACTATAAATCAAGCAGCGGGGCGGTGCGACGGTGCCACCAAAGGGCGTCATTTGGAGGTCGGCGACGCGGCCACGACGGGGAGCCCCGCCGCCCCGCCAGCGCCGCCAAGCACCCCGTCAGGCTGAGGGACGGCCACGGCCTCGGCCACGGCGCTGCACTGGGAGTACCGCAGCACATCCGCTATCGGCAGCCCGGTCCTATTCCTGGCCTCGATCGAGCTGACCTTTGCCCTGGAGTCGGAATCTCGCGTGTACACGGTGCAAGGGAAGTCGAGCCCCAGGAGGGGCGGGGCGGGGCGGGGCGCGGCGCGTCCCAGCTGGACTGCGACCGGCCCTCGATATAGGCCCTCGCCGGCGCCAGGGTCGATTTGGATGCGATGGTTGCCTGCCGATGGCCCGACCGCGACCCAGTTCAACCCCCACCCCCCACCCCCACGAGTGCGAGAGGGACAACGTTCTCAATCAGCGGCGAGCTGGCCAGACGGACCGCCACCGTCAGTCTACCCCGCGCTCAAGCGCGCCTGGAATCAGGATCCTGGAATGCGGACACCGCGGCCCCTTATCTCTGCCACTGCACTGCCTGATGCAACGAGGCCCCACCGTCGATACCCCGGGCGTCTCCAGGGACCGTCCGATCGGCACCTGTCCTCTGGCCAGGCGTCGCCGTGCGGGCGACGGCGATACCCCCGACGCACAGTGGGCCAGAAGGCCGGTGGAGGCGACCGGGGTTTCGGCCGCCTCCGCCGGTCTTCTGGCCCACTGTGCGACGCGACGCTTCCCGGAACCCGCACGCCATGCGCGATGGCGCGAGGCACGCGTGCCCGATGCGACACGGATAGCCCGCGTCGCTCTGTCTCTCTCTCACCCCCAGGGCACGCCCCGCCAGTGCGACAGAGACAGATCGGCGAGGCCGAGAGATTGAGAACGGACACGCCGTCGCCGAAGGCAAAGCCAAAGGCCCTGAAGGTCCCCAAGGTCTCGATAAGCCAGGCCAGCCAGGCCAGCCAGGCGGGGTGCAGCCGCGCCGTGACGTCACGCGCCCTTTTCATTACGCCGCGCCTCGCTCCGTCTCTCTCGCACTCACGGCGCGCCCCGCGGGGGTGCGAGAGAGAGAGAGAGAGCCTGGTATGACTCGGTACGCCAAGGACGCGCACGGAACATGGAACGAACGCTGGCGTCGCTGGCGCGGCATCGCCGGGCACCGCGGGGGAGGGGCGGGGTGCACACCGCGACGCGACTTACGCCCCACGTGTGCGGGACGGGCGGACGGCACGGCAGAGACAGGGCGCCGCCGGCCCGGCCTCAGTTACACTAGAAAACAAGCCAAAGCCGCCGACTGGTCGCGCCGTGGCGACGCGGCGACGCGGCCCCAGGACCGGCCATCTTGCGCTATCACTTGGCCACTTTCCGGCGGCCGGCCTGTCGCGCGCCGGCGCCGCCATATCAAATTGATCGGGAGGCGGGCGAAAAGAAAAGGAGAAGGAGGAGGAGGGGAAGAGGAGCGAGACCAACGACTAGACGGCGGCCTTGCGTCGCCGGAGGAACCCGACGCCAGCGCGACGCATCGCCACTAGGCACTCCCACGCATCGAGCAGGCCGGGCAGGCCGGGCGGGCCGGGCAGGCCGTGCTACACGAGTAGACGAACACGGCACGCCCCGTCTCGCACCGTTAGGCCCGGGGCCCGCCCCGCCCCGCCCCGCCCGCTGCACGTCAGCGCCGACCGTCCAGTCCAGCGGCCCAATTAACAAGCGATCACTTTCGCTGCAAAACGCGCACGCCACGCCAAGCCACGCGCCGCGCCGCCGAACCCACTTAGCGATTCATCCATTCAGGCGATGTATTCAAAAAGCGGCGAAAGTGAAGAGCAAAATTTGAATCCGGCGCCACAGACAGCCGTGGCAGCGCGGCGCAGCGCGGCGCATCGCGCGCGATGAACGGGTTGGCGCCGTTGGCGCGCTCGGTCGGTCGGCACGGCACTGCTCAGCACCGCGAAGACGAGTGCAACTGGAGGAAAGAAGACTTTCGCGCGCAGAAACGCACAACGCACCGGCATGCCTGTATTCGGTTCGGTGTCCGTCAGCTAGCCAGTGGGTCCGACAGGGTCCGAGCGCTTCCTAGAGGCCGCGGCAGCGGCGGCCCAGAGGGGCGTCCACGGATGCGGGGCCTCTGCGGGGCCCACCGTCCGCCCCGACGCCCCTTCCTCCACGCCCCCCGGCCGGCCCCCCTCGGCTGCATCCGTCGCTCTGTCTCTCTCGCGCCCTTCAGGCCCGCCCCGCGAGTGCGACAGAGACAACAGACTGATTCCGAGAGTCGTTTTCGACGCTCTGCCTCTCTCGCCCCGTCCCGTAATAGGTGCGAGAGAGACGGAGCGACGAAAACGACTCTCGGAATGAGCCTGCAGGGACACGCACCGATTGCATCGACGTGCGCGTGACGCACGGTGCGCTCTTCCTCCTCGATCAGGCGATGGAGCGCGACTAGCGCGACGACCAGGACACGGACCGAAAATGAGTCCATTTTCTGTTTCGACAAAAAATGTTTCTTTGTCGTCTTTTACAGTGCGCGTGCCGTGCTGCTGCGCCAGTTCGAGGCCCCGTATTGGCGCTGCGACCGCCCCGCGTCCCGGCACAACGCGGCGGGTCGCGAGGCCACTTGTGCGAGCGAGCTGCAGCGCACCGCGGTAAAAAAAGAAAGAAAAAACACACAGCAAAAATCAAGTCTGCCCGCAATGCCACTGACTCAACCACGGATGAAGACCCAGTAACGCGTGCCGGTTAAAACTCCCACACTCGCAGCGTTTCGGCTCCAAAAACAGTTTTCCGGGTCAAGTGCATTTCTACGGGCCGAGAGCATTTCTGCGGGGAACGCCGTGCGGTGAGTCACGGGGAACCTGTTCCTTTCCCGGTGACCGTGTGGGTCCAGCGCCACTTCCAGCCACTTGCAGCTTCCAGCGGTGGCCGTGAACCGGGCGGGGCCGAGCCACACTCCACGCTACGCTCGGCCGGAAGTACGGGCCGAGCCGAACCGCCCGCGGATTCCTAGCCGACCATTGGCAGAGTCCGTCAAATTACTTTGAGCAACTAAAACGGGAAGCAGACACTGCGGCGCATCCCTCCGTCTCTCTCTCTCTCTCTCTCTCTCTCTCTCGCACTGCAGCACGGGACGTGCCACGCGTGCGAGAGAGACAGCGACAGCGGCGTCTCCGATTGGTCCGCCGGCGCCGAAATGTGGTACAAGCGTTTCGCCGCGCGAAACCGACGCGAGAGAGAAAGAGAAAGAGAGAAGAAATCGGCGACGCCGCGCGCCAAAAGAGGTTAATAACGAAAGACGAGCTCCACAACGAAATTACCGGCGAGGCCTAACCGCACGGCGCGCTGCTCGCCGCCTTGCACACGGCCGTCGTCACGAAGCCCAACCCCAAGCCTCGCCCGAACCGCGCCACCCCGCCCCACGAGTGCGACGGAGACGGAGACAGCGCTCTCCGGAGTCAGCCTCGCCCTCAGCCTCGGCCTCAGCCTGCGGGCCGCGGGGTGGGCCGCCCCGTTACACTCGCGTGCGTGCGGGTTGCCTACCCCCGGCTCCGCAGGCGGCCGACGCGTCGACGCAGTATTGTCTCAAAGTTGATCAAATGTCTCTGATAAATCGTGTTTTAGGCCGACTTTAAGCAGCCACGGCGTCTGATCCGAGGCGGTATTTCGTCCTCCCTCAACGGGCATTTGGTCTTTGGACTTTTCTTTAGCATGCCTTTGTTACGGACTGCGATTATCTGCCTTAGTTTGGGAGCAGTATTGCCGCAAAGTTGATCAAAACGGTCACAAATGTCTGTGAAAAATCGTGTTTTGGGCCGACTTTAAGCATCCACTGCGTCCGATCCAAGGCGGTATTTCGTCCTCCCTCAACGGGCATTTGGTCTTTGGACCTTCCTTTAGCATGCCTTTGTTACGGAGTGCGATTATCTGACTTAGTTTGGGAGCAGTATTG